ATACAGTAGTGTCCCAAATAAATAAATCAATATCAAAGTTTATTTTTAAAATGGGAACACCCTGTATTATTATTGTCATTTTTAGCTTTCTAAAACGATTAATAAAGGGGTAAATTTGATTAGGGTCTATTACACTTAAACCTTACCGTTTTTGAAATGATTTTGAAATTTTGTAAAATTGCAGTATAAATTTTAGAGCGGCTATCATGTTCTTTCTCCGATGGTATCAAAGTTTTTAATACTAAATATTTACTGAAGTTTATTTATTGCTACCTTATACAGAGTGTCTAAAAATTTATTTTTAATAATTACTAGCTTTTAAACGGCAACTTGTATATATAATATATAAACGATAACTTGTTTAATTTAAATGGAATACCCTGTATATTTAATAAGAATCAGATGCACAATTTAATTGTCTATCAAAATTGTAATTATACGACTTTTTACCTAACCCTCAAGTTTTCGTAGAAAATGCATTTTCTATAATTTAGCCTCATTTATCAATATAACCCATTGGAATATTGACATTTTAGATTGTAATGTAAGCAAATGTACAAAATGTTACAGGCTAGTAATTATTTTTTTAGTAAAGAACGATAATATTACTAGCCCCATTTGTATGGCAAAAAGAAAACTATTTAGATTCTTTAGTAAAAGAGTATACCATTAATCTAAATATACCACCAGTATTTCCGCCCAAATACTAATCTAATTACATATTTAATTGTGTTGCGTTAATAAATTATTCTAAATAAATGTGGATTTGAATCAGAAATCATTAATAATAAGTTATGAAATGAATATCTCTGTTGTTATAAATAAGCATTTGTCAAAAAATGAAAATATCATTTTTAGGGTGTTTAGTTTTTTACCACAACTAATCTAATACACATAATAATTCAGTTTTTTAGTATTTGGAGCAATTATTATTAATCAATCGGCAAACAGTCAATTAATGTAGTTTAATACTGGAATCATATTAATGGTTCTCTTTAACAAAATATTTAAACACGTTTTTTATTTTTTAATGAAATAAACGAATATATTGACAATATAAGTATCTGTACTCTTTAAAAATTTGGTACATCTTAAAATAAATCTAAAATGTCAGTAATCCATGGGTATATTGATAAATGAGTTCTAAATTATACAAGAAAATGCATTTCTACGGAAGCGTGAAGAGATAGGTAAAAAATGGTATATTTGATAGACAATTAAATTTGTGCATCTGATTCTCCATAAAATATACAGGTGTTCCATTTAAGTTAAACAAGTTATTGGCCGTTTAAAATAACTAATAATTATTTAAAATAAATTTTTAGGACACTCTGTATAAGGTAGTAAAATTTTTATTATTGCAACACAATAACTTGCAACTGATCAATAAATAAACTTCAGTAAATATCTTAGTAATTAAAAACTTTGATACCCTCGGAGAATGAAGCCTTAAAATTTATACTGGCAATTTTCATCACAAAATTGAAAATTATTTCAAAAGCGGTAAGGTTTAAGTGTTTAATAAACCTTAATCTAAATTTAACCTTTAATTTTAATCGTAGAAACTAAAAATGTAATAAATATACAGGGTGTTCCATTTAAAAAAATTAAACTTTGAATATTTTTTTTTTATTTATTTGGGACCCTCTCTAACTTGTAATTTTTTAAATTGTAAGCTCTAATAGTCCTTCAACGAGCCAAAACTTACATTTGTAAAATCTAATCGTTAGGCTACAATATTTCCTCGTCGAATGTGGTGATCAACCCTGTATATATATATATAATATAATATATATATATATATATATATATAATATAGTATATATATATTATATATATTATATATATATATATATATATACTATATATATTATACTATATTATACTATATATAATATATATATATATATATATAGTATTATGTTACCGTAAGTCGGCGAAAATGCGGTTAAACCTAGGATAAACGCGCTAAACCTAGGATTACCAATGAATAACACCCTCCAAATACCACGCTAACCAACTCAAAATGCGGTAAAACCTAGGATTTACCTATTTATGATTATTAGAATTTCGGACATTTACCAGTGACATGTAATATATCCTGCTGGTCATCCAATTAATTTGGTCTGGATTTTAATGTGTTTGACAGAGAATAATATAAACGTCCGGCTGGCAGACAGAGAGACAAAATCAAAGCGGCTACAGTGTTGCCGTTTTTTTTACGTTTTTAGGAAAATGGTGTGTAGACAATTATAGGCTATTTAAAAAAAAAACTTTATGTAAATAATGTTAAAATAATTCTTTACTGAAATGAATGTAATTATATCTATAGTGAAAATGAGAAACTAATAGTGAAAAATAAAGTTCCAACACTAGATGCAACATTTTTCAAAAACGCCTACTTGTGCGGTGTGAAATTTTGGGATGTAAATCCTGGCCAATACGCGCATAGAAAAACCAATTTCTATTCTCTTTTTAATACATTTGATTTTGTCCATTAATGCTGTCTACATCACTGGTTTTAACGCGTTAAAATCCAGACCGCATAGTTTCGATGATTAAATCGGAGGGGAGGGGGAGTGGCACAGGGTATTAAAATAAAATTTTTAAAATTTTAAATGAGATCCTATTTTACAAAACCATCTAACTTTTGTTAAGTATATTTTAAAATATATATTTTTTTTTATAGATGGAGAAAAAGAGATTAATTTAATTGAGAATAGGGGCGTTTCTAAAAGAGGCAGGAAAAAGAAACTACAATTACATGGAGAAAACAAGGTTAATTTAATTGAGAATAAAGGTGTTTCTAAAAGAGGGAGGAAAAAAAAGTTACAATTAGACATCTCAAAATTGACCCAAAGTAATGTTACTTTATCATTACCAAATGGACGTGTAATTATTCTTTAGTATTTATTGTAGATGCAGAATCAAACATTCAAGGCAGGCCATCACTCATAAGTAATAATACACAATTTAATGAGACTGATAATAAAGGTAAAATAGCGTTAATAATCAATAAATTATAATTTCAATTGTATTGTTTATTTTTAGAAGATTTAGATCTTAAAGATGACAGAGGAAAGAACTTCATGCTAGAAGAAATATCTGGCAGGCGAACGAGACATAAGTCTTTCAGTGCTGTAAAATATAATTATAGGGGTAAAATTATATGAATCTTAGTAACATTTAATAACCATAAATATTTGGGCTTTTTGGATTTACAGATACTAAATTGAATATGTCGGTCGATGCGGCTTTGTGTGATGCTAAAGAATCCTCTTATAAGAAGAGTCTAGATAGTAAAGTAAAGAGAACTCGGACATTAAATCCATGAAGGGAACAATTGAGAAAACTGGTATGTATTTCTTCTCTTTCTGCTATGATAATGATTAGTGGCATGAATTTTTACATTTATGATGATTACAATAATGAAATAAAAAGTGTCTATCTGTACAATATTGCCAGATTTTACGTCAAGAAATTTTAGACTGGGCCAAGTAGAGTTGGATTTTAATTATCAACAATGTAATTTTTAGTCATTTATTAAGTATTTAATAACTAACAGACTTGTTTAACATTCTTATCCCTCTTAATTTAATCAGATTTTTAACTATGCTTACATACCGTTAGTTTTGTTTTTCGACTTGGCTGATACGTCATCATTCCCGACGCCATATTTCAGCTGTTAATACTAAAATGATGTTGTCTTTTTCTATTCGTCACCTAAGAGCAAGGACACGAATATTGTTTTTTCGTTAATAATTGGCGAATAGTATATAAAAAGACAAAATAATTATATGATCTAGAGATAGAAAATTGGGAAGGAGGGAGTTAATCGCCGCGACCCTTATAGATTCTGTTGTGTCCCCCCTTTCTTGAATCATAACTCATAATACAGTTTTAGGACTTTGACAAAAGCCAGTATCTGTGACTATTTTACAGAGGTTAGTTATCCCGCATCTCTGATATAGTGTACCAAAGTTTATGACACGTCTTCAAGGGATGTCTTCTCGTCGCACTCAAGATGATGTATTCTGGTATTTTCCCATTTTCCTCAGCAGATCTGCATTCGCCGTTGTTTCTTAGCTTGGAGCGCGGTTAGGTGTTTCATTGAGGAGACGGTCCCTGTTAAAAACCCGTGACAATTCAGAAGATTATTCTTAATTAAATCAGGGAAATCTTTTATTTTTCTCGTCCTGTCCTGTCAAGTCCTGAGGAGTTTCTTGGATTCTAATTGGCCGGTTACGGATGGAGTCTTCCAGGTCCTTGAGTTCTGCTTTAAGTTAGTTTCAACTTAAGGAAGCAGAAAATGTTTCGGATCCAGTTAATAGAATGGTTGCTCCTATTCTGGCTAGATGCTTTGCTTTTTCATTACCTTCTAATCCCTTGGTGGGCTGGCATCCAAGAGTAGGAGGACTTTATTTTCTTCTTTGCCCTAATTTGTTGGAAACCTTATAACTTTGGTGTGTCAACTAGTTGTAATGTAAGTTAACTACCATTATCTTGAACTTTAAGACATGATGTAAATAAAAAAGTATGTTCGGCAAAAGTCACTTCGCTTATTTTTAACCAGGCCTACCGCATGTAGGAACCGGCAACTCTGTAATTTTTTATATCTATTATGGGTGTAATGTAGTAAAATTACTTCAAAAATATATTATTGTTTTTTTTTTATTATAAATAAAAATACTGAAGCTCTGCCTGCTTCCAATTTTCTGGAAAATCCCTGTATTTAGGTATGTTATCCCGGATCCCGGAAAATCATACTATCCCGGAAAGCGCCAATCAAATTATAAAATCAAATAACATTTTTTATACCTAGTTATTTACCTTCCTTTATGTTATTTTGGTAAATATATTATAACTGCCGCCTTCGTTTTTCAAGTGCTTCGGTTTTTATTGCTCGCTTTTTTTGCCCTCCCGGATTTTAGCTATAAAAATCTGACAACTCTAGTTTGTATGCAATATTTTTGAGGAGAAAATTAGATTTTTTTTCTTAGATTTACGATCAAGCTCCAGGAATAATGAAGATGGACCTAAAGCAATTGAGGATCCAAATATCAATTTTAGGCTAACCAGACAAAGGTCTTTGGGTCAACTCAAACAAAATAATAAAGGTGTGTATCAGTCCAAGAAAATAGGCCAATACAAAGTTTTGGTTAAAACTTGAATTTTTGATATAACTAACCTAACTATATATACTTTGAAAGATCTAGAAACGAATTGTGAAAGATTTTTTTAAATTGCCCCCGAGAGGGGATAAAATAAATAAATAAAATTATTTTTTTCGAAATTTCGGTGAGACGGAAAGGACTAGAAATAAAAGTTAAAATAAAAGTTGTAGAGCGTCCGATTTTACATAAAAATGGTCTCTATACTTTTTTTTTCTCAAATCAAAATTAACCGAGATAGGGTGACTAGAAACTAGGAGATTTGGTTTGGTTGATTCTGATTTTGTTTGAAACATTTCTTTCAATGTCCTTTTCTGGTGGTGAATTTTAAAAAATCTAAATGAAATTTGTAATTTTCCAGGCAAATTGAATAAATATGTTAAATATATCAATTTTTCAGCCAGCTTATAGTGTCTTATATCATCTCCTAGCTTTTAGTCACCCTATTTCGGTTAATTTTGATCAGAGGAAAAAGTACAGAGATCATTTCTATGTAAAATTTGACACTCCACAACTTTTATTTGAATTTTTTTTTTCTAGTGCTTACCGTTTATAATACAGTGGCGTGCAGTATCATTTACAGTAGGGTAGGCAACAAAATCAAAAATATGAAAAAAAAACTAAAAAAACGTATGTATTACATAATATATATGTACAATGTACGTATATAAAATTTACTGTCTAACGTATTTTAACTTTAAACTCAAACAAAAGAAAATTCAAATAATAGCAAATAAATTTAATTATCTGTAGATGCAAAACGCGAATAATCTGTCTATTATTCAATCATTATTTCTTCCCGATAGGCGACTCAACGACTGGCGAATTAGCTAAAACAATAACCGTACACAATATTGCCAGATTACCAATTGCCTAATAGATTTTATGTACCAAAATTATTTTACAGTCAAATAAAATAATAAATGAAATCATTTGGAAACAAATACAGATGACAGACAAGCAAATTTCTAATTTGCTACATAAATCTTTCTAAAACACAGTTATTTAAAATTGATCATATAAAATAACATGGACTGTTTCTTACATAGTTCTGTAATAACATCGGAACTGGCAATACCGCATCGGCGCGCGGCGGGATCGAGACATCGGGTGCATCCGTGCTGCGGTAACGCACTGCTTTTGCTTGTCCATATCCATGTAATGTTAAGTTGCGGCCGTGCGTTCGATTTCGAATAATGGGATGCGTTTTTTAGGTAATAATAAGACGTTGAACAGGTGGCGTTTGTTTTGTATGATGTTTCCGGCTTTGCAACCGTAATAAACACAATACTAACTTACTATTTAGAAAAATAAAACAGTGTAGGTCGCATTGTAGGATTTGTAGGTAGATATATAATGAAAATTGATCAGATAAATATATTTTTATTTTGCGTCTGTCTTGAATAAATCGAAGGGTAGGCAATGCTTTTTTGCCTATATGTAATGCCACGCCACTGTTATAATAATAATAATAATAAATGTAATGCCAACGATAACATATAGCTTTGGAATCATTAAATGGACCCCTACAGAACTGGACGAACTAATAAACAGGTCTGTTAGAACCACGTATACAAAATATCGATCCCATCATCCAAAAGCATGTAAAGAACGTTTCCATCTTCCAAGAGATATAGGGGGCGAGGCGTCATGGATTTGCGACTACAACATAAAAAACAAATTAAAAACCTACGAACGTACTTCCACACGATAGCATCAACATCAAGCCTCTATGATACCATAAGCAAAACAGACAAAAAATTGACGCCTCTGAATCTTAGTGATAAAGAAATGAATATAGATGCTGGTTACACAATAGCCCTGCAAAAAAGCAAGTGGCAAGGAAAAGAGCTAAATGGCCGATACCTCAACACACTTGATCTGGACAGCATTCATAAGCCAGCTTCAGTAGCATGGCTGACACACGGAACGATTTTTCCAGAGACAGAGGGATTTATGTGCGCAATTCAAGACCAAGTAATAGCCACAAGATCATACCTAAAATATATAATAAAGGACCCCACAATTAAAACAACTGTATGCCGAATGTGCGGAGAAGGAAACGAGAATATAGAACACATTATTAGTAGTTGTACAACGCTAGCTTGAAGAGAGTATGCCGACAGACATAACAATGTAGCAAAAATAATACATACAGAACTTAGTTTGAAGTATAAATGCATTAACGAGCGCATTCCATATTATAATTATGCCCCAATGAACGTCCTAGAGAATGATGCTTGTAAATTATACTGGGATAGAGAAATATTAACAGATCGGACAGTGCAACACAACAGACCAGACATATGTCTGCTGGACAAACTCAAAAAAGAAATCTATCTTGTTGATATCGCTGTTCCTGCCCCTACAAATGTCAACCGAAAACATCAAGAAAAGATCGACAAATATACCTTACTAGCACAGGATATGAAAGAGGTCTGGGGAGTGGATAGGGTGTCAGTGGTGCCTATAGTGATTGGATCAACTGGAGAAATCCCCAAGCAGCTCCTTCACAATCTGAAAAAACTGGAACTTAACCAAAATCTTTACATACAACTTCAGAAGTCAGTTATTCTCGCAACATGCAACATAATGAGAAAAGTATTAAACTTGAGAAGATAGCTAAAAACTATTGTCTTGCCCCTTGGGGCCGACAATAGATTTACTTACCGTGTAACGTGACAAAAAAAATGTCTTTATTTAGTACCCAAGAAAAGCAAATTACAAAATATCATAATAGAAGATGCGGCGAGATCTAGCACAATGCTACTCCATCTAACCGCACTATTAAATATAAGCTTAACAACTAAATTCTAAGTCTTAAGATTTTCGTTTTGTAGTTAATGACACTAAAAGATTATAGAAAACAATAATATGATAGCAAAGGCGAGCATTAAATGAACAAACTAAAAACAGAAATAATTATTAAGTTATTTTAAAATCATATTCTCGACGAAACTAAATACTTCTCTCATTCATATAATGACGCTTGACAGCTTTCCTGAATGAGCCAACAGAGGGCCTGCATAATACACTATTTGGTAAACCATTAAATGCTTTTACAGCAGAATAACTAAATGAGCCTCGAAACTTGGAAGTTCTATGTTTAGGTACAACAAAATTTCGGGAGTTACGTGTTGCCCGACCGTGGATACTATTATTAGTAATTAATTTGTCTGAAACTTCGAAAAAATAATTATATTTATTTATTTTACCCCCCCTCGGGGTTAAATTAAAATTTTTTTTTCACAATTCGTTTTTAGATCTTTCAAAGTAAGTCATATCAAAAATTCAAGATTTTACCAAAACTTCGTATGTAAAGGCCTATTTTCTTGGACTATATTTAGACATGGTTTTCAGTATTAAACTAATTTTTGTTTTTTTTACAGTATTACAGTCAGATATGAAAAGGAATTCTACTTCAGTTGCAAGTAAAACCATTGGTCACATTGATAACAGTTCTAAAGCTAAGGATGAAGGAATTCACGATCCCAAAGACAAACAAATTAGGAAAAATAAGAAAAAATCGTTGTTAGAAATGAAAACGGTGGAAACAGGTATTTAAAAAATTATTTTAAAGTAAATTTAATTATTAGGACCTGACTTCCTGGCAAAATACGGCCAAAGATTAGAATCAGATGACATTCTTTATCAAGTTTTACTTTAAAATATAATGAGAGATTTTTTTTTATTTCTTGGGATTTTATACACACTCCCTAGATATAGATTTTTTTCTATAAACATAAAATTTTAGATACTAGCAATAAATCTGGCCCATCTTGCACGGAAGAAACATCAAGTGAATGTAATACTAGAATAACAAGACAGAGCTTATCGAGGCGGAATTTGCAGGATACATCTGAATCGTTTAGTGAAGATCATCAATCACAAAATAGAAAAGCACCTGAAATGGAAAGGAAAGGTCTTGTGACAGGTAATATTTTATGTAATGTTTTATAGTAGAGTCTAAACTAGAAATATCCTCCTAGCCGTAGCTACGATGGGTGTTCGCTTACCTTGTGTAATAAATGCTATTTACCGCAGCGGTAGATCATTCATTTTTGCCATTTTTATATAGTAGTTATAGGTAAAAGTACTGTATGATACGTAAAAAACGGTTGGGAGATGAAATCGATGATAATTTTATTGAGGTCAATCTCTAAACGTCATTTGCTAAAAATTGATATGTAAAACTTGTCAAAAATGATCACTAATTATAGAAACATTGGGTGCTCGGTGGCGTAGAGGTACAGCTTTTGTCTACCAATTTAAAGGTTGTGGGTTCGAATCCTACAGCCGGTATCGGCAGTTCATCAGCCGACTATTTTTAATAAAATAAAAATAGTTTGGGTACCTAGGCCGACTCAGCATTAAATGAGTACTTGGGATTCACAATCCTGAGGTGAAGCGTAGTGCTCGCCACATTACCTTCCTTGTATACCGAACGGCTCTAGCATGGCAAACTGTACCTTGCTACTCCCAAGGCGTTAAACGCTATATACGGGAGATATTATTACACAGGGTGTCCCAGAAATGAGTGCAAATATTTTAAGGGGTGGTAGATCTGGTCAAAAGAAACATATTTTCTCTTTACCATTTTTAAAATAAAATTAAAATAACCGAGTTATTTAACTTTGAAAGTTTTAAAAATAAATTGCGACATTTTGAGAGCCGCCGGGGGAAATCGGCAATTTCCCGGATCTCGCCTTGTTCGCGGCCCGCTGTTGCCGCGACTAGAAAGTCTTAAAAACTACTTGCAAAATTCTATAACACTAAGTGGATGATCGCCAGTAGCCATACTTCCCACATTTCCCAAATTAAATTAAAAGAAAAAAAAACTTACCAAACATTAAAAAAGGATATCCCGATATAATTGCAAAGCTTTCTTTTTTTCCATTTTACCAGTCCTAAAGCTGCCCTTAACACTACACTTAACTTCACTACAATTCTTAACAACACTTGAACTTTGATGCCACCTGAGGATCCAAACTTCCAAAATCCCTCAAATGCTGAACCATACTCACAGCTCACAGAGTTTACACTTGATAACGGTAAGCGACCCTTCTGACCGAAATGTTGGGTTAATCAAAATAAATAAAGACAATGGAAGTCCGAAATTCTTTTATTTTCAATATACTCACAAAGGTTCGAGCATTCGTGATCTGTCTATTCGAATACTCTTCGGAATAAAGCCTCTTAGCTTCCGCAGCCCCTTCACCTGCCAGGAGGAAGTATGCAAAATTCACACTTTAGGTAGAGTTTAGAAGCATATCCACCTTCTTCGGATTTGTATAGGCCATCGCGATTTACCGATACCGATTACCGACACAAAAATATGCACTAACGAACATTTTAAACACAATCTCCGATAACTTTCTGGAGTTTTAAAAGCTCGATACTATTAGAACGATTGCTAATAGTCGAACGTGCTGCTCATCTTATTTATTGGCCAAAATACAAAAATTAAACTCAAATCAATAACCCAGCGACATCTATAGAATAACGGATTAAGCTTTTTTTGTGAACTGACAATCGGCACTGTGGCGTGCAAGGCAAGTCGTATTAGACGGGAGCGGTAGAGGGCCCTCGTGCGCTTAACGGTATTTACGATTTCTCGGGGTTCCCAAAATCATTTAAAGAATGTAAACAAACCAAAATCAACGTATGTTGTACGTGTATCGCTTAAAGTTTTGGCACTTTTGGTGTAAAATCATTAATTTTCTTTTGTGGGAGAGTTCAGTAGAGGTTTTAAGTAGTTATTAAAGCAAGTTTTTTTAACACTTTTTGTTGTATAACTAAACTTTGTTTGTAACACTAAACTCACAATTAGTGTTTAATTATTATGTGGAACATTTTAAATAATATTTTGCAAGTGATAGATTTGTAATGTTCAGATTAATAGATATTTGGAGTGTATGTGTAATGGTATATGTTGGATAAAAACACCGATCAATTTTCATCAAAAGGGTAAGCTCTAACTTAATATTTAAAGATTATAATTGTTGATTGAAACGATTGAAAAAAAATCCTAATATGGCGAAAAAAGAAGCTCTTATAATTTATTTTTTCAGCCTACTCAACTGTAAAAAGTACTTAAAACATTGCGCATTTTCCTAAAATTAGTATTAGCAATGTCCACTACTATGAATAAATTTAGTTTTCGTATTTTTCTATAGAAACTTATGGCGGGTTTATACAACATAATCGTGATCATGATCACAATTTTAGTCACAATCATAAAAGTTAAAACCATTATTTTAGATACGACCGTTTATACATCGCAGTCGTAATCATAAGCATAATTTAATAACCTTGACCTTCGTAAATTTTAACTTTTTTGATTGTGATTAAGACAAAAATCGGTTAGGGGGCATTATTTTTTTTTCATTTTTATGTTTAATAATTATGATAATTTTCGTGTTTAAAAAACCTGAGTAATAAAATTTAAACAAAAATACACTTCTAAAACGATTATGAAATAGAAAAATAAGAAAATTAGTTTACTTTATCAGCTGTATTTACATTCCAAGATATGAATGCGACTATGTTGTATAAACGCATATTAAAATTGTGATTGTGACTGTGCTTATGCTTAAGACAAAAATTATGATTATGATTACCACTATGTTGTAGCCCATTAAAAATACTGTGAATTTATAAACATTTAGAATGTGGGTATGGTAGGAAGTGGCAACATTGCATTCTTTCCGAGATTCTTTCTATGCACGGTAAACGAATTTCCGGAGAGTGAACAGTGGCACTCAAAAGTTTTTCAAAATTTTCCGGAAAATGTCAAGAAAAATGTAAAATCTTCAACATTTTTTTTCGCAAAAAAACCCTCATAGGCGTGTTTCTGGGGTTGAACTATACTACCAGTTAAAATATTTGCACTCATTTCTGGGACACCCTGTATTATTATAGAAACATTAAAAAAGGATAGAAGGTTTCTAGACAGAAATGTATTTCCCTAAAATTGTTTTTACTCGAATTTTAAACTACACTATTTAAAAATCATTTTTACTCAATATGATATATAGGGTGGTCCGAACTGTATTCCGGAAATTTCGGCAGCATATTCTGCATATAAAAATAAGTAAAAAAGTTCCTATAAATGTATATGTCCTAAAATCATTAGTTTCGGAGATACAGGGTGTCGAAATTTTATTTTTATTTCGATTTTTTCCAAATAATTTCTGAAGTAACGTCAATATTTGGATGAAAATTGGTGTTTGGGAGTTTTTTGACATGAGAAATTTGATTTTGATGTCAATATGACTGCTATTTGTAGGGGGCGCCACCTATATGCGTTTTAACGGTTTTTAAGAGCATATTTTTACATTTCCGTGATTTTTTACGTAAAAAATGTATCTTTTTAAAAATCGCTATGAGCTACCATTCTCAAGATATTTAGAATGAAAATAGTCAATACATGTCATTATTGATAAAAGATAAATATGTTGAGTAGATAGTTCTTTGACTGAAATGATAAATATGGAAACTTTTTATTTTTTAGATTAATCACAAATTAATAAAAAAAATAAAACAGTTTCTGTTGAACTTTTGGTACAAAAACATTTTAAATTTATGATTTCAGTCTTATAACTATTTAGTCAACATGTTTAATTTATGTCAACGATGACAGGTATTGATAATTTCGATTCCAAATATCTCGAGTACCAGTACTCGTAGCGAATTTTACCAAGAGACCTTTTTTACGTAAAAAACGTCGTAAATGTATTATTTTTTACTTGGTAATTTTATACAGGACGGACCAAAAATTAATACTCCAGCGGTTTTTGACGTCGTTTTTTTTTCGATCGTATACTATATTACGCACTGATGGAATATGTAGAATATGAACCATCTATGCGTCATCACCTAGGTATTATAAAGGTTGTCGCCCACTAGACCGCTGCGCGGCGCGGCGCTGGGAAGAGAATTTTTTCCGGCTGCGAAGGGACTGCGCCCACTATAGCGCGCCTTTGAAACGCGGCAACGCTATTTAGTTATAGTCGAAGTGTTTTTTACTTACTGTAGTTTAGTTTTTACAGCAATGAGTTCAAGTACGGACGAAAGCGTATTTTTTGTGCTCTTCTAACAGAGGAAGAGGAAGAGGGGGTGAGGAAAAGTTTGGACTCATACGATTAAGAAAAAAAGAAAGAAGTTTGGAGAATTTTACCATCTTTTTCCAGATTTAATAAAAAACAAGATAATTTTTTTCAGCATTACAAAATATAAAGGAAACATTTTACGCACTCCTCAATTGAGGGTTTTAGAAGCAAAACACCGGGTATCTCTACTCATCATATTTTTTCATAAGAGACAAATTACTAATTCTTTTGATAATTCTTATTTATTCTGATGTGTATATTAGTTATGTGGTGAAAAAACCCTGATCTTTTTTATATTTTTAGGTAATTAGAATTTAAAAATTGGAGATTGTCACTTTTGTTAAAAAGTGGAGATTGCCGGTTTTGCCTCTACACCCCTCAATTATATTAAATCTTTGATAGAAAGGCATTTCGTCCATCTGTCTCTAGTGAGGGAAGACTAAAAAAAATATCATATTTCTTTATGAAAAGCGATTTGCCTAATTTACCTTTAAAAATACAATTCTACCAGTGATACGTATCACTAGTTCCTAGTCAAAAAGCCAACTGAAAAGACTCGAATGCAAAATTATTTCCCTTGTGAGTACGCCCACTGCAACGCGTCAAAACGCGGGAGACGGAAAAAAGTTGCTAGAGAAGTCTTCCGACTTCTTGACGGAAATCCCGCAGCGCGCTTCTGCGCTGCGCGCTCTAATGTGCGTTGGTCCATTTAAATACATGACAAGCAGACAAAAGAAATTTCCACATGGCGCCGCGCCGCGTCGCGCCGCGTTCTAGTGGGCGACAACCTTAAGTATCTCTTGCAGTGGCATGTTCATGATTGATTCAAGAGAGAATATTTTGTTGATGTTTAGTGTTGTAAATGGAAATATTTCCGTTGGAAATGGAAATATTGGAAATTTCCAAACGTGTCTCGGAAATATTGGATATATTGGGAATATTGGAAATATTTTTAAAAATACTTAAATCTTGTCATTAACGATTCAAACCCGATGTTTATTAATATATCTTTCATATTTTGTAACCCTATAAACATTAAACTTACTATAGAACAGTTTTACAAACATATCACATTGTGAATATATCAAGTTTGAGGATTCACCAACTTATTTGCAACCTCGCATTTCTACGGGGAAGTCCCGAGCTCGTAAGTCGTAGCGTAGTAAAAACTCGCTGGTCTTCAATTTTGACCAATTTAAAAAGTGTATACAATACTAGGCTCAGTTTACAAGGAGTTGCAGTTAGTCAAGAAGCAACACAAATGATTGATAAAAATGTTAAGTAGTGGATATTAGATGACGAAGTATATTTTGGGCCCAAATTTCCATAGTAATTAACATTTTTGAACCTATTGGCAAATGGTTAAAAATTGTAGAAGGAGATTATAGCACTATTCATTTTCCTATCAAAACATTTTGTGATATTAGAAGGGTAATTCAGAATAATCTTGCATTGTCCTCACTTGACGACAAAGAAAAATCCGAATTGTTGGAGATTGTTGTCAAAAGAGAAAAATTTGCTATTAAACCCATTCATTATGCTGCAGAATTACTAATTCCAAAATCACAAGGTTCTGAACTTGATGAAACCCAAATTCTTTCTGCCAATAATAAAAGAAATAATAGATGAAATAGCAGATTACCGTTGTAGAAGAGGCAAGTTATTTGGAAATAACTTCATATGGAAAGTAGTTTTGATAACCCAGTCTCCTGGTGGAAAGGACTGTGTTCTTCATCTTCATTATCACAAGTAGCTTCACGAATGTTCGTGTCACGTTGTAGCTTCGGCTGCCACGGAACGCAGTTTTAGCGTTTATAGTCATTTCATTCAAAAAAGAGAAACAGGCTTACTAATGATAGAGCCGCTAAGTTATTCTATGTATCCCACAATGAAAACTTGCTGAAGAAAATAGGAAACGGCAATAGATCAATTTTTATTTTCGATACTATTGAAGATTTTGAGGAAGTAGACTGGCAAGAAGATGTTATTGAGTGTCATGCTGATGACAGCGATAAAGATATGCCTCTTGCTCGCTAGTGTGTCAAAAATATTTTTTTTTGTACAAATTTAACCTCAATTTATTTTTTTAATTTGAAGAATAACTCTTTATTTGTGTTTATGTATGTATAAACATTTTGTGTTTTGCGATGTTTTGTTATGATTTTAATAAATAAATATTTTAGTTTTTCTTATTTTTTAAAATATTTCATATATTTCCAATATTTCCATATATTTCCAATGTTTCAGGAAATATTTCCTGGAAATTTTACATCACTATGTTCGACCATCAAAATCTTAGAAATAAAGAAGTTGTCTAAAAATTTGCTATAATACGGATATAGTATATTCCTTTATCTTTAATTTCCTTCTTCATTTGTGTAAAAATACCTAGCCAGTTTTACATAAAACGTTAAATGCCGAACGCTTATTTTACTACATTTTCGGACTAGTGAAATGGACTCTTAGAATTTCGAATTAGTTGTAGATTTACCCGTGGCAGAAAAACTTACTTCAGATAAGGAACAGCTTAAATCCAAAAAAGAGAAAGACGCTCAATGTGATCTCATAAATGAAATTGAGAGAAGTATGGAGCGTTTGGCTCTGTAGATTTGTTTAATATTAATAAACATAACATTTCAGATGATAGCAATAAATCTAATGCATCATGTGCGGACGAGACGTTAAATGAGTGTAATATTAAAATAACAAGACGGGGAAGATCAAGACGGAATTCGCAAGTAAATGTATCTAGTTCTTCCGATACTAGCAACGAGCGTAGCACTAAACAGACCATTTTGCAGGAGAAATCCGAATCATTTAACCAAGACCTTGCATTACAAGGTACAAAAGAACCTGACAGAGAAGAGAAAGACCATGATACAGGTATATTTTTAATAATTTTTCAGTTAGTATAAAGTCTAAACTAGTAATAACCTTCAAATACAAAACTTGTAAATGCAACAAAATTGATTAAGCGTATTGTTATTATAAAAATTATAAAAGATTGTTTAATCTTAAATCCACACTTGCAAAGTTCATAAATGGTGAATTATGAAAGTAAAAGAATATTTTTAACTGAACTACTACAAGTGATGTTTTATGTTTTGTTTCTTATGTAGTACATAGTACTTGATACTTAAATATGGAATGTTTTTAGTTTATAGTGGACCATTTGAGCAATCTTGTGCCAACGATCCAGTCCAATCTCATAGAACATTGGAAGAATTAAATATCGGAAAGAAGAGTCAAGTTTATCATATTGAAGATCTCAATGGAGAAGTTAAAGTATCAAGTGATAATACAAGGCATGAGCAGGATATAGATTATAGAATACAAAATGCAGATAACTCTGACAATTGTGTGCCAAAGGATATAACAGTGTCCAATCTAGGTATTCTTTTTAATTAATTTTTTAAATCAATTTTAATACGGTAAACTGGTACAAGTAGTTCAACTAAATAGTCAACTACTAAAATGTATTTTACATATAAACTACAGGATATTCAATGACTTCGTTTTACCAAAATCTGTAGACCAGCTCCAACTTACTTCTTTGTATGTATCAATCACTTTATTTGAGGAACAGACTTACTAAATACATTTTGTCCATTTTTCAAGATTTTCAACCAAGGATGACATTGCAAACTGCATACACAGAGTTACAATATGATACCAGAAACGACGTGTTAAATACATTTTATCCTAGTCGAATTAAAGGACGAAAATACCTTAGACTTTCTATATTTCATATCAATTAAACTTTTAGTAACGTAATCGAGGGCGCGATTTTTAAATTCATTGTTGCCAACCATGGACATATTCGGCGCCGCGCCGCGGCCGTGCTGAATAACTCGAATTTAAATTTCGCGCTGGGGATTCAAGCGGTAGCTCTGCTATAAAAATGTCAAGTTGCCGCATTTATTTATTTATTTCCTGATATTGTCATTCGTTTTGACACTTTAGTTTTGTATTAGGAGTCTTTGGTTTAAATAAATAGTGTTGTGATACTTTAAGCTTGAAAATTTACTAGCAGACCTTGCAGTAGAACATTTTTAGAACCTCTTTTAGTGCGAAGTATACAAGATAGCTTAATAGCCGTAAAAAACTCTTCGCAACTTTATTAGAATAGTTTGAACCGGAGAGCGGTAGTCCCCTTTATGTCTCTTAAGTGCTGTTAAGAAGGTGAGTTTTGTTGATGTAAATAATAACTGTTTATACAGGGTGTTTCAAAAAACATGTGCCATATCTCGTGTGGAGATTCCTCACGTAAAAATAAGATTTATTTTTCATATCAACTTAGGTCCGATTCTGCTTTGTTTCCTAGCTACAGGGTATTAAAAGGAGGCAACGTCCCAGCTACGTCGAAGCACCGGTTCCCATTAGAACACCGAAGTTAAGCGACGTAAGGCGATACTAGTGGATGGACGGGTGACCGGTTCAAAACTCTGTATCGTGCTGTTGTCCAATAAAGGCAAAAGTGTAAAATCTATTGACACACACTGCACATTCACGCCGGTTCGAGGCCGGATGAGATCGAATATCTCGTGAGTAAGAGTCGATTTAGACACTTGCCAAGTCGGTAGACCATTGACTATGATAAAGCATGTACGCCACTGATTTTTTTCTTTTGTTAGCGAAGTAGTGTAAGCAGTTTAATGCCGATTAAAAGTTGTCTCTTGATATTTTGTCGATTTCATGAAACTACGACTGGGGACCATGTAGTTGGGGATACGGACCGTGGTAGTAGAAAAATAAAGAGAAATTTCACGTGTAACAGACAGTCAACAGTTCTTTTCAATTTTTTTAGATATCATCAAAACTAGATTTTTCACATGTAGGTGTATTATTTTTATGATTTATTTATCCACTTTTCAAGTACACTAGTTTTTCGGTAAGTTTCTTGCAAAAAGCGTGGCAGTTTTTCTTTGATTGCCAAAATTAGAAAAAATGGATAAAATACATCTAGAAAGTCTGCTCCTCATTTCTTGGTTCATGTAAAGCAAATCAGTTGCCTAGGTTTATTATCTATTTTACTACTTATGAATTTGGTATTCTCTTATTTAAAACATCATCTAGAAACCAATATTTTTTTATGATTTAGTATTGAACTTATTTTTCAACAATCCACAATACTGTTTGTTTTTATCAACGTTTATAGTCTATAAAATGAACAACTTTGAATTTTGACCGTTATTTTTTAACAACATGGCAAATATAAAACCCCTCTGCTAAAAAAGTTAGTGATATTCTTTAAATTGAGTGCCTGAACGAATCAGATAGGTAACTCTTCGTGAAATAGAAAAGGAAAATAATAAAACAAGTGACAGTGCTTCCTCTTCTTGCAAAAATCGACACGAAATGTCATAATTGTCAAAAGTAATATGTCATCAGCTTTTGATATTTCTAAATATCAGACCAATACCGTCTCTAATAGAACAGCCTCGGAGCGAGATTTATGACATCACGCTAGTTAGATACTACGGATTAATAAATATGTTGTAGAATACATGGAAAACATAATTATTTCTCGTATTTTTGGTTTGTATTTTAAAAATTATATAGTTTACATGAAATATACATAATATACAGTTAATAAATAATATAATATATATATATATATATATATATATATATATATATATATATATATATATATATATATATATATATATATATATATATATATATATATATATATATATATATATATATATATATATATATATAAATAAACTATGAACCATACAAATGCAGCAAATGTTTTACAATATACAAATAATGAGTAGGTAGATAAGATAATGGGTAAAATGTAAAATATATTTTAAATTTTGGTGTTTTAAAATCGATCTAATTTAACAAAAAGTATTCAATATCTACTAATAGTGATGTATTATTATTTGCATTCACAAAATTTATATGTATATTGTGCAAGTATCAATGTTCGAAAAATTATATTTGCAAATAATACAATATCATAGAAAAAAATGCGTCAGCGATGGCTATAAAATAAAGATCGCTGTCATTTTATATGTAAAATTATTCTAAAATTTTTGATTTTCTTGGGATTTAGGTTCGGGAAAATCGCTGATTAAGTTTTCATTTGGTTTTTCATTATTTTTATTTGGTTTAAAAAAACGTCTCGGCTAATATTATAGCCTTCATCAGTGTTGTGTCATATGAAAAAAAAAATGTCGAATATAATCCTAAAAATTACATATAAAATATTCATGGCTGAAGTCGTACTCCATAGTCAATGTACATAGTTTTAGTGTTTAGAATAATAATTTTAAAAAATATGTGGTCATCTTTTGACAAGTTTATATTAGTTTATTAATTTCAGTAAACATTATGTGTGTTGTGAATATCAGTATAGAAATTTTAAAACATTTTCCGATGCACGTCATCAACTTTGAGTGACAAGTGATGGCGACAGCGCTGCCAGATTGTGATGGATTTATGAGATAAATCTTAATTTAAAAGTGACAAACAATATATATTTAGTATATAATTTTTATATATTTTTTAAGGCAGCCAGCTACCCGCTAAAAATTGAAATAAGTAGAAATAACTTGAAAGTGGTATAATGTGCTTACCAATCAATCTTACTTCTCTGACTGCATTCAAGGGTAATAAAGGACCTTTATTGTCACGTTTGCGCTCAAAATATTTTATCAGGGAAGCTACAAGCGCTTTGCTTCGACTGTTTAAAGGCTTCGGCATATTTTCAATCCACAATTCCAAAAAATGCAGTAAAAAATCTTGAAAATTTAGTTCTTAAAAGAACTTTTTGTGCTTAGAAGTGCGATTTAAGAAAAAAAACTATTAAAAACGGAAAAAAACGAGAATTCCTCCCAAAAATTCAACAGCACGATATTATATAAAATAATGACTGACACTAGGATAATTGTCAAATAATACACGACAACAATTCTGAACATGGCACAATGTGACCAACAAGGCGATAATAAAAATCGGGTTAAACTAATTTTTGCAGCTTTAATCTAAATAAAATATCTGTTACAATCATTTGCTCTATAAAGTATAATGAAGAGCTGCTTGGTATCTTAAATAAGTAAACAAATTTAAACATTTTTGCTAAAATTTCATTTACTCAGGTTTATAGGCTTTAGTGTCAATGTCGATGTGATTGATGACGTGCATCGGAAAATGTTTTAAAATTCCTATATTATTAGTAGTATCTAACTATGATCTAACTAGCGTGACGTCATAAATCTCGCTCCGAGACTGTTCATGGCCAACATGGCCGCAAGTTGCTAACCTAATAAAATTAACACTAGAAAAGACCGCGGGAACTGTCAAATTCAAAGTTATTTGTTTCACAGACTATACATTTGATTATAGTTCATTCAGGAAAAATGACGATTGCATCATACTAAACCCCCTACGATCGAAAAAAAAGCGTCAAAGACGGCTGGAGAATAACAATCGATGATAATTTTGGCGAGGTCGGGCCCTAGACGTCATATACTTGGCCCGTACTCTTTACTTTTTAATGGCGTATACTTCCAGCTGTTCTTAAGAAGCTTCTAATTTATTTTTATATTGAGCAAAAATTAAGCTTTATCTTTTTTTAATCTTTCTGTAATCAGTGTTGTATATTAATTTGTAGTATAGAATGTCTAGAGATTGGCCTCGCCAAAATTATTATCGATTATCACTCCCACCCGTCTTTGACGCCGTTTTTTTTCTCGATCATGTGGTATTTCGATGAACTAAGAAATTAACGTTTTTTTATCGACCAATTCGCTTAGTTGATGCAATAGCGTGCTATCTTTTTTTAATCATAGGATATATGATTATAGGAAAAAGTGCGCTCTAAATTTCAAACGAATTATTTATTATAATTTTAATTTGGTAATAGTTTCGACGTCTGATGACGTGCAACTCTTATTGATATCTCTATATGTAGTCATTATTTCAAAGTCCTATAATTTTACAGATACAGAATCAGAAGGAATAATAAATACATGTCGCCCTACCAACATAGATAATTCAACTAAAAAAATTATAGAATCTGAAGATTCCCCAAGCTTAGTCAACTTTAGCATAGATTTAAGCCGTGATAAACTTAATACAATAGAAGATAGCGGTAGAAAAACTAGACAAAGCACTTATAACGGAAAAAGTAATTTTGTCTACCCTAAATAATGCATGTTTTAATTTAATTCAATATTATAGGTCTTGTGACGCAGAAATTGTATTTAAATGAAGATAAATCTATTGAACAGCCGAATAACGATTGGAAAACAAAAAATGATATACAACAAAATAAAACAGACATAACAGAACAAACGGAATTAGATGAAATTAAAAAACGTAGAAAATCTTATAACAAGTCTGAAAAAAAGCAGGAATCGTTAAACGAAAATAATGCTAGGAAAACTAGGCTGAGTTATTCAAATCAAGCTCAACAAAATGAAAAAGGTACGCTTATGATATGTTTATGCTATCTTTGTCTTATTCATTAAAACCTTCAGTTCAAAAAAGAAATCAAAAAAATACCTTAACATTTTTTAGATTTAAAGTCGATAAATAAAAGTATCAAAGAAAATGGAAATATTGAATCAGAAGTTAATTTAAATGACATAGAGCAAAGAGCTAGTAAGGGTGAAGATCACGTTAGTTCGAGGTAAGATTTTATAATACATTCAATATCTGTAGCACAACACTGTAACTACACTAAAGCCTGTTCCACGAGAAGATATACGATAGTGTCAGTGTGTGTGTGACAGTCATTTTAATTTACAAGCAAGCATATTGTATTTTCTGTCATTTATTGAATTTTGTCTATTGAATTCTTTCCTGACTCGTTGGACAGACTATTTTACAAAAATGTCTATACTTATGTGGCGGATTCATCTCTCCAAAAAAATTCTTTATAGGTGTTTCGCCACTGCACTGCAAGAAAATCTACAAAATAAAATAGTTAATATAAAATATTTTAATGTAAAATATTTTTTGTAAACACTTCTGCCTTAAACCTAAACGGACACTGCTTGTCAGAAGTTATGTTTACAGTTATAAAAATTTGCCTAACAAAGAAAAAAATGCTTAACGTTTCGGAAAGTCTATCTCTTTCCGTCGTCAGAAGCAAAAAAATACAAAGAATAAAGAAAAAAACTATTTAAAATATTTAAATTCAAACTATTATGACAACACTAACCTAACCTAACATTTTAGTTTTTTTTTAAACAGATACGTCTACAAGAAACCGTTGACGTTCTGTTAAAATGTTTTTTTTTCTGTTCTGTTTTTGCGTCTAAAGTTGATATATGTCATTTTAACAGAACGTCAAGGGTGGGTCAAATTCGACTCTTTTAAACTCTTTGGAAACATCCTCTTTTATAGGAGATAGACGAAAATTAATATCGGTGTCTGGAGCTCAATTTTCATCAAAAACATGATGGTGAAAACCGCTCATCAATATCTGTTACCGTTTCGGAGTTACGGGGTGTTTTTCAAAAGTGTGCATTTTTAACAAATCGCTGTAACTTTTTTGTTATGGAAAATTTTGTATTTCTATGAAAACATTTCCAAAGCACCTTTTTACGTAGAATTTAATGGTTTAAGTATATTTTTTTTAAATTAATAATTTAAGAGTTATCAACAGAAAAATTGATTTTTTATTTGGGACACCCTCTATATTTTTAATTAACTGAAAAGAATTTAAAATTACATTTCCAAAAATATAGCACTGTAAGGCTATTTCTTTGGTTCTGTGAAAAATAGCCTTATTGACGCCTAGTGGTAAATCTAGATCTCTCGGGCGCCACTTTTAACTAGTAAACTGGACCCCTTATTGATGATATGCGCTTAATGGAACTCGAAAACAAATTCTTTTCCAGCAAGACGACGCACCGCCTCTGAACGCTGAAGTTATCAGCAAATTTTTGAATCCAATTTCAAGATTAATTGAATAGCTAACTAAGATTCCAGCCGTTGGCCGTCGAGGCCACCTGTCTTAGTGCGCATGGATCTAATCCTGTGAATATATTTGCGGAAAAATAAAAAGGTTCCTTATTCTTCCGTATAATCTAGACAAGAATTAGAAATACTTAGCAGTTATGAGAGGGTATCTTTCACCCTCACTGAGTTAATGAATTCCGCGAGAAATGTTCAAAAACTGTCCCGTCTGTCCATAACAGAAGACAGTCGATATGTCGAACACCTGTAGCAAAATCTCATGTCTTGGTTTGCTATTTATTTTTATTGTTATTGGATATAGTTTAAATGTGTTGATGTTGGTTAAATATATTTTAAATAGTTATAAAATTCTGCATCTCTCATAGCAAATATTATTTTCGTTTTAATTGATGCTCACAGCTAGAATTTTTTTGCATTACAGCCGGTGCCGTTCAAAGCCTACTTATTTAAAGCGGGCGAATTTTTATATACTCTATTTCTCGAAGAAGAATCGAGCAAAATATCAAATGTGTTATATTTTTGGAAAGGTAATTTTAAATTCTTTTCAATAAAGTAAAAATATACAGGGTGTCCCATATAAAGAATCAAATTTTCTGTTGATAATTCTTAAATTAATAATTTAAAAAAAAATAAACTTAAACCATTAAATTCTACGTAAAAAGGTGCTTTTGAAATGTTTTCATAAAAATACAAAATTTTCCATAGCAAAAAAGTTACAGCGATTTGTTAAAAATGCATATTTTTGAAAAACACCCCGTAACTCCGAAACTGTAACAGATATCGATATGCGGGTTTCACCATCATGTTTTTGACAAAAATTGAGCTCCAGACACCGATATTAGTTTTCGTCTATCTCCTATAGAAAGGGGTGTTTCCATTTAAAAGCGTCGAATTTGACCCACCCTGTACATTATTTTTTATTAAGAAATAAATATGAAGATTTTTATGATTTTACTACAGTTTGGATAATGCATATGATATTTTAGGTGTTAACATTAGAGTCAAAAAATAACAGAAACCTGTTATTTTAAGCTGTTATATATTAATACCAGTAACAGTTTCAACTGTTATTTAAAAACAACGGTTTTGCCACTACCTAATAACCTAATAACGGTACACTACTACTCGGTACACTGCAAGTTTCGTTTTCAAGTCACAGTTTCGTGCTCAAGTCACGATTGTAGAAAACCCTATTTTTAGTTTCCAGAATGCTCTTGAGGCGCTGCTAATTCTGTGTTGAATTTCAGAGTCGATATTGCCCTTTCCGAAATCAAACTGCTAAGGTAATTGAATTCCGCAACATATTCCAGTAGTTCTCCGATTTTTATAGCATTGTTATGATTTTCCGGGAGAGTGCACATGATTTTAGTTTTATCGATGTTCAGCTTAAGGCCCTGCCTGTCAGCATTTCTTGTAATTGCTGTAACGTTTTTGCAACTAGAGCGCAGGTCTATTGTACCCTCTTTTATTGAGTTATAATTCATCATACAGTCTCAGGGCGTTGACGAAAGCCAGTATCTGCTGATTCTGCTAATATACTTAGCGAAACATGCGTCTAAAGTTCAAATAATATGTTTTTGTCTATTGCTGTTAACTATAGTCTGTCTAGAATGTAGAATGAGTGGAAGGGGGTTAATCACTGCGACCTTAAAGATCTATTGTGTTCCCTTTCTTGAGTTATAACTCATCATACAGTCTTTTTTTTCTAAAAAAATCTTTGCCTGGTCTGTTCTAGCGACCGAGGTGTGCCAGATTCCTACCGACTAAAAAAAATCCTCCCTATTTGCTTGACAAACTGCGCTGGAACTGCTCACGCATTACTTCGGCGCAGATGCCCTGGTATGACGGACAGAGTAGTGCCATGCGGCTTCGTAATACGTCTTGGTGAAATTCCCTGGCCTCGACACTAGCCAAGGCAAGACAATGAGATGCTCCTTAGGCCAAGCTAAAGTGTTAGAGGGGATTCCCCCTAGCACCTGGCTAGGAGCTTCCCCACCAGCGAAAAAGTTTCGCAAGTAGAGGAAGTTTCGCAAGTTTCCCTCCTAGAGGTAGATACATGACAGTAACAGTTGTCTGTCGTTTGTTGAAACCTTCTTCGACTCGTTGGACATACTTTACTGTTATGTTACTGTTGTGCCGCCAAAGATTCTAACCTGAATTAATTCGTAATTTTTTATGATAATATTTATTTATAGTTATAATGGAGTATATCAAATGAAATCAAAGGGATCAGATTATGGAGAAGTACAAAAAAATGACGATTATTTATTAGACAGATTGAAAACAAAGCAAATTGATGAACATTCGGAATCTGGATCTAAAGCTAGTAGTGGCAGTAGTAGTAAAACACAGCTATATTCTTTCGAGTATCAGATGGAACTTTTTAAGAAAAATAACCTATTTAATGGAACAAGAAATATTAAAGTTCGTTATACTATGTCCTTTCTTAGATAAATTGTTAATTTTTAATATATTTGTAGGTGTGTGATCACTGTTTTGAACAGGGAGAATTATTTAAATGCAAAGGAAAATGCGGTAATTACTTTCATATTGAATGTGCTTCAAAAGTAAAAGAACCGAAAGTGAGGTCATCCCGGAGTAAAAAAATAGATGGCCCCGTTAAAAGCAGCAGTGAGCCAATAAATCTCTCTATTAGTTTGGACAGTTGTGATATACCTGACAAAAACACATTGCCCAATGACATTGAAGAAAGGAAAGTTGACGAGCACGTGCAGATTATTACTGTTAAGTCAAAACGTGCTATAGAGGCACCCCAAACAGAAGAATTGCCATCTAACTATCATACAATGTCGATTGTTGAACAAATTGATTGGAAAATGGGTGTAAGTAAATCAGTATTTTTTTTTTAATATTTAGAGATATTCAGATTTTTACAGTAGGCTCAATATTTATTAACAGCTTAAAGTAATATTGAAACATTGAAATCTACTTCCAGTAAAATTTAGATTGGCAGCGAAGCAAAATATTCTTGCCATCCGCATTTACCTAGTTTGTTTAATAAACTTTCAAGGTTACGTCATATATTATATGCATTATGTGTTAATACAAAACAAACAGTGTATTTTAAACAAAAGTGTGTATTTTAAACAAAAGACCACATACCAAAAAAATTAAGCGAACTATTTCTTACTTTTAAACTTCAAGAAACTTCCCGTAATTATTATATTTATCAATATAACTTACAAATATTTTTGTAAGTATATACTGTACAAATATATTTTTTTAATATTGCACGGGAATAAATAGAGGATAGTTTCTTCTTGGGACAGCCGAACTGTGCTCTGGGTCTACAGTTAATTTTTCTTCGATTTTCCTCCATTTAACTTCAAAAAACACAAAACACGCAATAACATGAATCAAAATGTAAAAGCAATTCCCAAATATTTGACATAATTTGACACAAATAACTTAAGATTTGGCTAGAGTTTGACAAGCCTCAAAAATCTTAAGTCGACTTCAAACGCATCTGCGTCCGTACAACGTTTAACGTTACGTCACTCCAATAATATTGAAATAAAAACTGTCATTTTTTAAATAATTTTGGAATTGACGTCATCTGCCTTTTTAGCCGACCATACTAACAGGTATGGTAGGCTATTAAGATCGGCAAAAAAAACGTTTTTTTAATTTCACTCAAAATGAGTTATTTGGGTCATAAATGACCTAAATACAAAATATTTTCATGGTGTCTGTCTGTCTGTCTGTCCGTCTGTCACTCTGTCTGTAACACGATAACTCAAAAACCGATTTTAACCAAATTTGGCACAAAAATACTGTGGCACCCGAGAACCTGGCTATTAGTCTTTGGTGGTGGTGGGGGGTTGGTAAGGGGGTATGGGAGAGGGTTAAACATTTTAAAAAAAGTGAAACTCCAAAATTACAGTAGCTAGCGAAACGCGGTTTTCAATTTAAGATTAGGAATAATATTTGCAACAAAATTTGTAATAACATCAAAATCAGTCAAAGTCGCAGATTTTGAGATAAAAAAATTGGAAAAATTCTTTTACTTTGAAACTAAAAGAACTGCCTACCAACTTTTTATTAACATATTTTAGTATGGGCGGCTATACGTGCCTCTCCCGGCGGCATGTAAGCAAAATGTACCATTATATAGTCCATAATGTGATTTTCCCTGCTCTCATTGGTTGAGACTAAACGCTGGTGCGTATTGCCAACCGTGACTAAAACGTGGTACGTTCTGCCATATTCTTTCCAGCATCATGCAAATGTTTTAAGGACAATCCAGATTACACTACTAACATGTTATAAACGCCATTATTAAAATCTCTGATTTTTAGGAATGACCACAGAATTATCCCATTTAATATTTGATCGTCTTTTTAGGACCAGCGTGAAATGTTAAGAAAACGTCTATTTTATAAAAATATTAGTCTGACACTTCTAAAAAATTGTTTGCTTGATTTCCGTGTGTCGTGACGTCTTTGTAACACAGACAGGTATAGTATTTTTAATACCTATTTAGAGGTACCAACCGTTTTAGTAACTTAACGTATGCGGCTTCTTGAACCATCTGAAGCCGCATGAAAAACTGGAACTTTTAGTGCTTCGGACGCTTTTTGAATTGCCTTAAATCGAGTACCTAAATCGTTTTGAAAATAGTTTACTACATTAAGCATAAGTTTTTTGGATTCATCAGAATATCGCATTTTTATATCTTATTTTGTGTTATGACATTAACATGATATCAAAATTTGACGTAACTTCAAAAACGTGACATCTAAAAAATTAGTTATCGACGTTCCTTTTTGTTGGTAATTTTTTGTTTCAACTGATTTATTAATAATAAATAAGGATGGTGTTATTCTAAATGGGTATTAAAAATACTATATATGTGGTCAATGTACATAATTTAAAATTATTTTGAAATGTACAAGGTGTGTCAGAACTAAGATCCTTACCAAAGTTATATTTTTTCTTATGGAACACCAGGTATTTTATGTCATTTTTGGATTTTTGAACATAAAATAAGGCATTTATTATAAGGGTTTAATATGTTTAAATGCTTTGGTTTTTGATATATTTAAAGAGATTTAAATATGCATGCTATGATAAAAAAGTTTGTCAACACCTTGTACATTACTTTTCAGAATTAATTCTTGTGCTGACTTTCAAGCCAGAGAAATAAACCTTACTAAAAAATTTGATTGCTTCCTTAAATGTATACAGGGGTATCAAAAATTGCATCATACATAGAAATAACGAAGTTTTTATGTAAAATAAATATTTAAAATAGACCAGCAATTTTTGATACCCCTGTATACATTTAAGAAAGCAATACATTGTTTTAGTAAAGTTAATTTCTCTGGCTTCAAAGTCACCACAAGAATAAACTCTGAAAAGTAATGTACAGGTTGTTGACAAACTTTTTTATTAGAGCATGCATATTTAAATGTCTTTAAATATCTCAAAAACCAAAGCATCATATTAAACCCTTATAATAAATGCCTTATTTTAAGCCCAAGAATCCAAAAATGAAATAAAATGGAATAGTATGGATATGTATCTGTAAAATGAATAGTGTGGATCTTAGTTCTAACACACCCTGTACATTTCAAAATAATTTTAAATTATGCACATTGTTTCTCTACATATACCCATAAAAAATTTTGTTTCTACATCTTTCCGTTTAATCAACCGAGGCGAATGAGGTGCGCCATCCTGTATAATAATGGTCGATCTTCTTTGGAAACTGCTTGATTTTTGTCCCAAAGCCACCTCCATACAGCCTGTCCAATACGGAAAGAACAAAGTAAAAGTTCGCCGTACAATCCAGGCAACTGAATTTAGTCGCGAAAATTCTGAAATCCATGCGTCGCAATCTTCTGCTGTTTTTAGTTCAGCATAAATAATGCTACCTTAAACCAAAACTTCTTTTACACTGTACCGAAATCGATCCGGTAAAATATACGTCAAACCTTCAGATGTCATGGTAGATATCAATTAAAAATGCTAAAGTTTATTCAAACACACACAAAAACGTCTGTCTAATGGAAACTACTTGAGAGAAGCGTATAACGGCGACGTGTTTTCACTTCGGCGAAGTTGTCGTAGCAATCCGTCAATTCTTTTTTATTTTTCTCAGGGTAATTGAAAAGGTTAATGCCATTCGATCTCAGGCATAATACACCACGTTTTAGTAAAGTTTAGCAGCATGTACCTGCGTTTGGAATGCCTCACGCTTACGTTGCAAAATGTACCGCATTTTAGTCATGTTTGGCAAAACGCACCAGCTGCAGAGTTTAGTCTCGACCAATGAGAGCAGGGAAAATCACATTATGGACTAAATAATGGTACATTTTGCTTAAATGCCTCCCGGCGTCAATTTTCACCGTCTGTCGAAATCTTATCTGAGTAATAAAACAGTATATATATACAGGGTGGCCCATCGAAAACGTTCCGCAAGGCATAACGGTCAGGATATTTTTTTTTTCAAAAAATCCAAAAACACGTCAATTTTGTTTGTGAGGGGGACAACTTTTGCCCCAAAAATGATTGCAAAATCTTCAACTCTCTAAGCGGGGATGTCATCCCCAACTTTTTTCAAATGGGAAGGGGGGTCAAATGGTACCGCAATGAAAAGGGCTTTTTATTCTCTATACTTTCCGCTTCGTTTTTGAAAATCGGTCGAGTCATTGAGAAAATATGAAGGATTGAAATTTGAAAAGTTTATTTAAACATTTATCAGAGTAAATGATAAGGATAAATTCCTTCGACCAATTTGCTGTTTTTTCTTATTATTTCTAGATGTTTATGCGTTTTTTCACTTGCCACAAGGTTGAACAATCAGGTGCGGCAGTTGCTAGATAGCTGTTCTGTGACTTGTGCGTTGAAGTTCTTCTCAATATCGTTAAACTGACCTAAAATAGAATTTCCAAAAATACTAGCCCACACGTTCAATTTCTGAGGGTTTGGTGTGTGCACCTCGTGAAAAACCCCTCAGCCCAGTACCGACAGTTATGCCGATTAACTACACCGTTCAAAAAGAAAGTACACTCATCCGAAAAACACACATTAAATAGGAAATTATTATCATTCGCCACTCGTTCAGTCACAGTTTCACAAAATTGCAAGCGACGATCAAAATCGTCTTCGTTGAGTTCTTGTACCAACTGAATTTTGTACGGGTGGAACTTGTGTTTTTTTCATATCTTTTGGACACTGGTACGATTCACGCCGGCTAATTTTGCATTGGCTAATTTTCTTGTACTCAGCGTACTATCCATGGCAACTTGGCCCAATACGAATACCTCCATAGCTTCATTTACTACAGGGTTTTCCCTCTGCCTCTTTTTATTCATAACGGAACCATCAGTTTCGCGAAATTTTGCTACTAACTCGCGAACAATTTTGCCATAAAGGTGTTTTTCAGGATGGCATTCATTGAATATCTGCGGAACCCGATTGCTACATTCATTATTTTTAAAATAAAGTTTGATTATTTCCACTTTTTCTGCAAGTGAGTACACCATAATTGTTAAAAAGTTTAACGATATTGAGAAGAACTTCAACGCACAAGTCACAGAACAGCTATCTAGCAACTGCCGCACCTGATCGTTCAACCTTGTGGCAAGTGAAAAAATGCGTAAACATCTAGAAATAATAAGAAAAAATAGCAAATTGGTCGAAGGAATTTATCCTTATCATTTACTCTGATAAATGTTTAAATAAACTTTTCAAATTTCAATCCTTCATATTTTCTCAATGACTCGACAGATTTTCAAAAACGAAGCGGGAAAGTATAGAGAATAAAAAGCCCTTTTCATTGCGGTACCACTTGATCCCCCTTCCCATTTGAAAAAAGTTGGGGGACAACACCCCCGCTTAGATTTTTGGGGCAAAAGTTGTCCCCCTCACAAGCAAAATTGACGTGTTTTTGAATTTTCTGAAAAAAAAATTTCCCTGGCCGTTATGCCTTGCGGAACGTTTTCGATGGGCCACCCTGTATATGCGCCTAACATTTTAAATTGAAACATAATCAGAATGAGTAACACACCTACTTAAAATTAGCAAAAACTCGCGCAATTAATAATAATAAATAACTTAGGAACATACTTAAAATTTTCTAAATTATATGAAGTGATCTAGCACACACCCTAAAATGTATATTTCATAAACATTGATGACGTAACGTTGAGCAGTTGTGGAACAAACTATACCTAATGCTTCAAAATTTCATGTTTTCATACAATTAAGGAGACACTGTCAAGATATTTGAATATTAGTTGTTTAAAGCCATTCTCAATAATTATGTTTTAGGAAATAATGAAAAATTTAGAAAAAAGTTCTAAATATCAGTTCGATTCTACTGATACCAGTTCAGAAGATGGATCACTAAATATGTCTGTTAAGAAAAACTCAGATTCAAATCTGTTACAATCATCATTGAGAATTGATATAGAAAAAACAGACATTTCGGAGTCGAATAAAGAACAACATGAATCACAAACAGGTAGAGAAATTAACTTTCTTAATTAATTTTCATTTTATTTCATGTATATTTTAATTGTTTTAAGAGTATACAGACCCACAACAAATATCAACGAATTCCAACAAAATAATATGCCATGTTACCGCCGATTCTGTGGTTGTGAAAGAACCCATGGACGGTAGTACTTTAAAATGCACTTACTGTTCCATGAATCAGACGCCTCCTTGTTTTATTTGTGGTTTACTGGTAACGAAATTTCTTAATTCAATTTATATTATTTTTTAATATGTGAATCTTAATTAGATATCAAAAAGAGGTTCACAAATTCGTAAGAAATGCTCATATCATCGATGTTCGAAATATTTCCATTTGCATTGTTTAAAAGCATTTCCTCAAACCCAGTGGACAATTGGAAAATGGTCGAAAAATCAGGATTCTGAAGACACATTTACTTGTCCTAGTCACCTGTGTCACACCTGTTTTTCGGAAGAGTTGGGTTCTAATGTTAGGTAAGGAGTGAATTTTGAATAACAGGGGTAATTTACTAATTCGTTAATAATTTTAGATTACCCGGTGACCGACTGGCCAGATGTATGCTTTGTCCAGCCGCATTTCACTCTACTAATTATTGTACCCCTGCTGGTTCAAAAATTCTAGGTGGTTCGCAGGTAAGTTAATAAGTAGGTTATTCCGATTTGAATGATATTTTGGATGTCTATGTTTTCCTAAGTGCTTTAATATTTGACTTTCTCAAAAATCAAGAAAAAGTACGGGAAGGGCGAAAACTACCTCCACCCTTACATAAATTTTTGTATAAGTATTTTTCAACTCCACCGACGACGGATTTTCTTTTCGTATAATGTTTCCTCTAGTATTTACTACATTTTTTTGTCTCTGTGGTGTTAAAAAACACCATATCGCATAGTTTTTGGGAACATTTTTTTAGAGAATTTATTTTTCCAAAGCAGACCTACAAAATATACAGGTAGACGATATTAACCAATATTCCGTGGAAATAGAACAACTACGTATTTTTTGAATCAAAATAAGTTAATTGTACATAATTTACCTTTGAATGAGATTTTGGGTGCCTATGTTTTGCTAAGTGCTTTAACATTTGACTTTCACAAAAATAAGGGGATCCAATAAACGGGATTTGGTTAAAGTTATGCAATACTTCTGCCTTCTAGTTACCTTACGTTACACGTTTCAATTTATGTCGTCAACAGCTTCATTCAAGTTATCATTGCTTCCTTAACCGTTCCGTTTCAGGATTTTGTTCCTTTTTTTCTTCTGCACTTGTTTAAACTCGTGTATTTGCTTAGTCGACTGTTTACGGTATTTTCCGATTGCACTAGAGTCCATAGCTCTGAGTCATATCAAAGAACTGATTCTACTAATGTCTGCCCGAGTCTTTTTTTAGTTGTTGCAGGCACATTTTGGTCTCACCAGAGGCTATTAGGACTTCCAATAACGTGTTTGCTCTATAAAAATAAATACAGGCTCACAGAAGTTATCAAACGGGATTGGTTTATGTCAAATTTGATTGTGCTGTTAGTATTTGCTTTTAAATAGATTAAAAATGACATAATAAAATTTAGCCCATTGCTCTCGGGTATCTACCAAATTTAACAATAAAATATGTGACTAAAAAGTGGAATTATTGGCCAAACCTTCAAAAACTATTTCTGAAAATTTGAGAAGCCTGTCGAGTCTTTTTTTAATTTTACAGAAGTAGTCGTTAAAATAGCAGTCGTTTCTTGAGGTAGAAACCGTATAATAATAGTTTTTTTAAGATAAAATAAATTTATAAAAAACTTCGCAACCCTATTTATTGAGATGACACAATGACGTTCTGATTTCTGCATCCTGGAAACTTATGCGCACTCACTTATGCACAATACTAAATGTGAAAATATGTTTTTTATAGCCTAGTTTTAAAAGTGTTTGTTTAGAAAGCTTTTCATAATATTTTTTGTTTTATTTTTTTTTTAGATTATTTGTCCAAGACATCGAAATAAACTTATTCAACCAATTAATACAACTTGGTGTTTCATTTGTTCAGAGGGTGGAAAATTAGTGTGTTGTGATACGTGTCCAACGAGTGTTCATCCAGAATGCCAGCCAATTACATTAACTGATGATGACAAAGTATGTTTTATATCATAGTTTAGTATTAAAATATTTTCAAAATATCTAAATTTATAATCATAATTCTAAAGTAATATATCGTCGGTCTACAACCAAAACATAGTAAGTCTGATTTTGGCATTTTTGACTTATTTATATCATGTTAGTGGATTTCTCCCTGAATATAGAGCTATATTCTGGAGATTAGATTAGATTAGATTCTTTGAGGTGGGTATCGGCCTGATCCACTGCGATCTTTTCTTTCTTTAAGCAGAATCGTGATTACTCAATGATCATATTTTACGAAATACCCTGTATAAACTTATAAAAAATCTTAAAATATGTAAAACAACAAAATAAAATATACGTGTTTAAGAGTTTTTCCGAAAAACTCACCGGTTTTTAAATAAAAAAAATATATTAATATTTGAGGGATAGTTTCACCCCCTTAGAATTCGAGTTTCGAAAAATCCCTTCTTATCGAACCTCTACACCCTAAAGCCAATCTGTTTTCCAAAATTCAGCTTTATGTTATGCAGTGGCGGACTAAGCCTGTCGAGGGCCCGGGGCGGCGAAGCTAAATGGGGCCCCCGGTCTGTTCAGATAATGATATACTTCTAATGCACATTTGTGTAAAAATTGAATGACGTATGAATGAATAATGGTTGACAAAATTGAATTATTTATACAGGGTTTCCATTTGAAAAAAAAAATATTTATGATAATTTTTTAATCGCTCAATTCCATCACAGCTACCGCCATTATTATATGACATTTGAACAATTTGATTTTTGAAATAGATAGCTACATGTCTTTTCCTTATGTCACAGTGGCTGTGATAATCACTAAATTTGACTTTTAGGCTGTACAAATTTTTTTGGCAGGTAGTTTTTGTCTTTTTTTCGTCCAAAAATTTTAAATATTTTTTTCTCAAAAATGGTTAATGTTAGAGTGTTTAACATCAATATTCATAGAATTTTACAGAGAACTTAAGTATGTAATAAAAAATAGGGGGGCATCCATTTAAAATAAGAAAGTTGCTGACAAATTCCGGTATTTCCGGAAGTGCCGCCATGTTGAAAATATTTTTAATCGATAGATCTTGCAGTAAAACAATGATGTGCAAAAAATCTTCGTTCTAGATATTGTGGTTCTCTAAAAAGTTCTAATGCACGCTCAGTCTGGGACACTCTGTATACTGTAATAATTATAATAAAAATCGATATCTAAATATGTTACTCATCAGCAGTGCCGTTTTTACGTAGGGACCTAATGGGCCCTGGCCCCAGGAGTATTAAGGGCCCCAGCTCTAAAAAGGCTGCAGAAAAACTATAACAACAATTTTTTGAAGCTTATAATAATATTTTTAAATCGAAAAACGAATGCAATTTGATGTAATAAAACAAGTAAGTGCAAAAGTAGTGTTTTGGTGTATTGTGGTGAATTAGTGTTTTATTTTGCTGTTGTAACACCAAATGTTTCAATCCCAACTGTAATAAATTAGAGGTATTAAAGTATTGAACATAATTTTGCTAACGAGCCATAAACTACCATTCACGGGCCATGCAGTATTAGATCGGGAAATCCCCGAGCGGAATGTTCGCATGTATTTAATGGCAACTTATGATGACAAAGTGATGAAAATACCTGTTCCACATAATATGAGCCGCGTTACTTTCGCTACCGTTCCAGAGAAACACCGCGACAAAATATCGCGATTTTGTAAGTCCTCCAAGATCCGAGGGGCCCCTTCGTTGTCTCAGGCCCGTGGCCCCCGTTATACTAAAGCCTCCACTGCTCATCATCGGTAAAGAAGCTAGCATACAAGTTATGCCGTGCATTGGTTGTAATTTAAAATGTTTATTCATCATTCAGTAAAAATAAACAATGAAACCATTGAAAAATAACTTAAAAGCTAAAATAAATAAATTCAGTCTCAAAATTTATAAAAAATAATAATTATTCGATATTTTACAATACAAAGAAAATTATCTCTTTATTTAAATCCCTAAAAAAATGCCATTGACAATTACTGGGGCCTGATAATTGATAATTAAGTAAATATCCGCTTCCATTTATACTGTTTATAGTTGGCGTATACGTATGGTTTGCATACTCCACCTACAAACTGCTTCATAACTACTATTGGCCTTGTTTGCCAGTTGAATAAAATATTACTTACTAAGATTCGGAGGCCACCTAAAAGACGGGGCCCGGGGCGGACCGCCCCTTCCGCCCCCCCCCCCTTAGTCCGCCACTGGCGTTATGGCCTTAAAAAATAATTTATGTTCTCATATGTTCACTAAAAATGCATTAAAAAATATTTGTTAGACTTAGTGTGTTTTGCTTGTTCGACTATACAGATTGTTAACGGGACGGTTACTTATTGGGGAATAGAATGGCAACACTGTCTACTCCCTGTCTAAGCTAAGCTGCCGACTCGTCCCGTCGCGTCGTCTCTAGACGAGCGGGCCGAGGTTGCCATATTTCAACCATAAAACTCTTGCCGCGAGTAATAAACAAATTAACAACCTGTATAACAATTATCATTGAAAACTGATGAGCGCCTAGAGCAATTTTTGTCAGAGTAAATTTAAAAAAAATATATGTTTATAGTATATATGTGAAGACTGTGAATCTGGCCGATTTCCTCTTTATGATGAGGTGGTATGGGTCAAACTAGGGCACTATAAATGGTGGCCTGCCTTGGTACTTTTTCCTAACGAAACACCTGAAAGTGTTAAAGCAATTAAACACAATACTGGAGATTTTGCTGTTCGATTTTTTGGAACTGACGACTATTATTGGGTAAATAAAGCCAGGTATGTTTAATTTATATATACAAATATTTCAGTTCAGTTTGAAAAAATACATTTTATAGGTCATTCCTGTTTGAAGAAGGGGACAGGGGTGCCAGTTCCGGCGAAACTCTCAGATCGAAAAACAAAGTGTACAAATTATATGAAAAAGCAATTGATGATGCCGCCTTGGCTTTTAAATTAAAAAGAGGTTAGCTAAATTTATTTTCTTGGTAAGAACTGTTATTATAAGTTATTCATATGTTTTTTAGAGTTTAAATTACGCCGAGAAGCCGAAAGTATAAGTAATTTGAAACACCCATTTTTCGTCAAAATAAATAAGAATAAGCCAGTGGGAAAGGTTAAATTATCTGAATTAGATTTTAGCAACGTTACACCATGCGAATGTGACCCTAAGAAGCCTCACCCTTGTGGACCTGACAGTGATTGCATAAATAGGTATTGTATGAAATTACATATCAGATAATCATTTTCTTTTTTATTTATAGGGTTCTTGGCTTTTGGTCAATATTAAACTTTTTCTGGGTTTAGGAAGTGTTTATTATATAACTAACGTTTCGGTCCAGTTTTAACCTTTTTCAAAGCCTACAATACGATATTATCAAACTCCAACTGTGTAAAAAAATAATCATTTTCTACATTTCTCCTTTATTATTAGTTGATCCGAGCATATTTCTTGCCTGTACAGTACGTTTGTCCGTTCTGTAGCTACGAGGTATCCGTGAGAGGGGAAACGATATTCTCTCGATGTTTTTCGTAACAACTAAGACGACGCGTCCCATCAATAAAAATTCGACAAATTTGCAAGTAGCCAATAAAATGAGTGGGCGGAGCGATTTCCGGTGACGTACTCGTCAAGTCGACGTATAAAATATATTGCTGTTTATTTAAATGTTTTTTGTCCGCATTCCTTTCATAGACACAGATCCAGCAGACGTACTGTATATGCGATTGATTTTCGTTAAACCAGTGTGGTTGTTTCTTTTTGTTGGATTTTCCCAGTACTTCTTCGCTGGTTTTATAAATCGCATCCCTCAATTGTGTCCAGCCTTGTTCAGCTTCCGAGATTGAGGTTATCGGTGGAAGTGCTTCTCTGATGGCTTCCCGGAGGGTGTTGGCGGTGTCGTCCTTCGTTAATCCTTACGTTCAATCTGGTCATGTTGTTTTGCTTTTTGCAGTGTGGATGTTTGGGTTTTAATTGAAGTTTCATTTTCGAAACTACAAGTCGGTGGTCAGTACCACATTCGGCATCTATTCTGGCTTTTGTAAGTCTGACATCTTTCAGATGCTTCCTTCGAACGATTACGTGGTCCAATTGATACCAGTGGCCTGATCTGGGATATTTCCAGGTACCTTTAAACTTGTCTTTCAGCTTGAACCATCTATTGGTAATGCAAAGATTGTACTCTGTGCATGTTGTTAGCCAGCGTTCACCATTGCTATTTACGTTTCCTATTCCATGTTTTCCCAATACGTCTGGCCATATTTCTTGCTGATTGCCGACACGGGCATTAAAGTCATCTAGCAAGATCATTCGCTCCTGTTTGGGAATTCGTTGGAGAGCATTTTGTAGATCTTGGTAAAATTTATCTAGGGTGGGAGTGTAGGCACTATGCTCTATATTAAATAAATTTGCATATACAGGGTGGACCGAAATGTAATCGGGAAACTTCGGCAACCTATTCTGCAAATAAAAATAAGTAAAAAAGTTTTAAATTTATGTTTTAAAATGCTTTGTTTCGGATATACACGGTTTAAAAGCAATGTTACTTCTATCATTTTTATTTAGGTTTTTCCAAATAATGTTTGAACTAACGTCGATATTTGGATGAGAATCGATGTCTGGGTGTTTTTTACATGAGGATTTTGATTTCGATGTTAATACGACTTCTATTTGTAGACGGCGCCACGTCCATGCTTTTTAACTGTTAACAAAAGTAATAACATTTCGTCCATAACAAGTCGTGCTGGTATTGCTGGAAATGAACTAGCGGACTTAAGCGCGTGTTCTGAGACTTTTTGCATACCTCTAGTAAGCTCTGGAACATCAAAAGTATTTTCTTTGGGGATCACACTACTGCAATTCGTCCACCTCTTCCTATCCCTGAGTTTGCATAATTATGATATAAGTAGCTTTTGATGATAATGAAAGTTACGTTGCCATGTTCTCTAAAAAGCGTAAGTAACGTTTACCGGTCACCGTATTCTTGAAAATGTATGCTCCAAGAAGAGTTGAACTACAATAATCCTACACGCTTTTCTTCATTTGAAAAATTCATATTTACAATTTAGTTGCGTCTCGATGAAGTATTTGTGTTTGGATGCGACAGTTTGACATCTCTGAAAGTAAAGACGATTGAACTTGTTTCCATGGCTAACTAAGTGAAATTGTTTAAAAAAACTAAGAATTGGCTATAACTCATTAATTTTTCCAAAAAACATATAGCTTATATCGCCGAAAAACTTAAAACACGGCGCTTTTTATCAAGTCATGGCCAACTAGGGTTTCCATTTAAAAATGCATATATTTGTGCCATATGTCAAAAAATGCCATATGAGAAATGAGGCTTTAAAAAAAACGCAAAAAGATCACAATCTCATTAAGAATGTGCTTATCTACAACTTTTATCTGTGAAAACCTTTTGTCTAAAATAGATTAAATAGAATTAGGGAGAATTTTTAAAATACCTGATTTTTTTTTTAAATATCTAATAGGCCATAGATTTTTTCAAAAATTCGAAAGGCGCATCTGTTTGTCCTTACAAAATTGCAATTTTTTCTCCATTTGAGCGTCTTCAGAAGTTTCCGAGATACCCGTAGAGAACATTGTAGAAAATTCACTTTGTATATCTGTGTTGATTAATTGATTAATTAGACAGTTAAAGCATGGCACAATACGTATAGTCGTATCTCAGGGTACGTAACGGTAGAAACTTAAGCTACGGATGTGGATGCGTCGTCGCACAAACGAGAGCTAAAGGCAAGTATTTTGACGTTACGTAACGTAACCGGTACTTTTTAATATTTTAATCCATTGATTCCACATCAAATTTATAAAAGTATTTGTCGAAGGATAAAAAAACATTACTGGGAATTATATTATTGGAAGTACCCACCCTTAAAAACTTAAAATGTGTACAAATAATTAATTTATTATATTAAAATAGGTCCCTTTTCTGTTCCACAAGGCCAAACATTTCTGAAATATCTCAAATAACTACTAATAACTATCCAAGGTCAGAGAGCCAGATATTAAGACAGATGTTTGTCGATTTGAATTTGTACGTTCGGCATTAATTTGCCGAAATGCATTAGTTTGCCAAACCAAACCAAACCCTTTCGGCTCGATACGTTTGCGTTTTGTACGTACGTAAAGGCACGTAAAGATACGTATCACGTATCCGTAAATGCAAGTGAATTTCTCACTGCGCAAGCGTACATGTCAAACGATACGTTTACCTCTACGTCTTCGGCCGAGCTTTAACTGTCTATTATTGATTTTATATTTGCAGACTTTTAATGACTGAATGCGATCCCGATGTGTGCCTGGCAGGTACCAGGTGCCGAAATCAAGTGTTTCAAAAGAGGGAATATATGCCTGTAATTCCTTATAAAACACAAGGTAAAAAATAGAGAAGTGACTCCAAATTGCATCTATTTTATACTAAATTTTTTACTTACTTGAAATATGATTATGAAGTATATTTGTTTGTAACCATTACGAATTTTAGGTAGAGGGTGGGGATTGAAGTGTTTAACACCAATCAAGAATGGCCAATTTATAATAGAATATGTGGGCGAGCTAATAGATTCCGAAGAATACCAAAGAAGAATAAGAAAAATGCATGCTCAAAAAGACGAAAACTATTACTTCATGACTGTTGATTCTGATAGAATGATTGATGCTGGACCAAAAGGTATTATGGCGTTTCTGATATTTGTTCTTTTTCTCATTTATATACCATTTTAGGAAACTTCTCAAGATTCATGAATCACTCCTGTGATCCAAATTGCATAACACAGAAATGGACAGTTAAAGTAAAGCTATTTAAACTATTTTATTTTTATGGAAAAAAATAACTCTTAATCTTTATAGGGTGATACACGTGTAGGGATTTTTGCTAACTGTGATATAGAAACTGGCTCAGAATTAACATTCAATTATAATTTGGAAGTAGTTGGTCAGGAGAAAAAAATATGCAAATGTGGAGCTTCAGGCTGTACTGGATATATAGGTAAATAATATTCCAATTGTAAAAAACAATGTGTATGATCCTTAACGCAGGTAAAGTCTGTCCAGCGGGAGAATACTTGACAGTGACAGTTTCTATCATTTTAATTTAAATTCTGGGATTTATTTTATTTGACATAAAATAATACGTTTTCTTCTTGTAAATACTATAATTAAATTATTAATATACAGGGTAGGTCCGAACTGTATTCCGGAAACTTCTGCAGATAAAAACAAGGAAAAAAAGTTCGTATAAATGTGTGTGCTAAAATGTTTAGTCTCGAAGATACAGGGTGTAGAAGTTTCATTTGTATTTTGATTTTTCCAAATAATTTCTGAAGTAACGTCAATTATGTCGATGAAAATTGGTGTTTGGAAGTTTTTTGCAATGAGAAATTTGATTTTGATGTTAATACGACTTCTATTTGTAGAGGGCGCCACCTACATGTGTTTTAACCGTTTTGAAGAGTAATAACTTTTTGTCCGTACCTGTATAAAACTACTGAGTGAAAAAATATATATTTGCGTGCCTTTTTACGTAAAATAAAAAAATTTTAATTTTTTAAATTAATCATAAATTTTTCTGTGAAAAAATGACGATAAAACAGTTTCTGTTGAACAAAAACATTTTAAATTTATGTCCGAACTTCAAGTTTGAGCGAATTTTACAAACTAATGATTATAAATTATTAAGCAATCATATAAAATTTATCGCCTATTTGCCAGTCAACATAATCGGTTTTAATATTTTAATTCTGTGAAATCTCTCTTGTATAATCAAACAATTTGTTGTTTTAGTTAAATCATATAGTTTCCGAATAGTATTATAACCACCGGTTATTATGAAGTAATTACAAAACGCAATGGCAAATTAATGTTAAAGTATAGTAAGTATAGTAGTTTTAATTTAAAAGTAAATTATATCTTCTTTTATTTTTTGGATGTTGTCTGTCAAAATCTTTGCCATCTCGCTGAATAGATTTTATATTGCAGTTGTATTCTTTTGGGAATATTATTACTGAAACACTCTAAAATCAAATATATTGACTTTTGCACAAAGTGTGCTTTAAGATAAGAATTATAGTAGCCTGGTTATTTTAAATCCGTGGTCTCTATTTTATTTAATATCCAGTAATTTGTTATATCCAGCTGATAGAGAGAGGTGCAAAGAAACACAGAGTTGCCGGTTCTTATGTGCGGTAGGTATGATTTAAAATTTAGGAGGCCGGTCCTTACGTGCGGTAGGTATGACGAAATTGGCCCAAGTTATCCCGGCTTATTTCCTAATATTATGGTCCCATCTTAGGTTTGGCCTTCTTCTAGGTCTCTTAATTCCTTGTGAGTACAATGCTGTAATACCCATTGCCACTTGAGAGATTTGATTCTGTGGATGACATTACCTGGGTATTTTTGGTTATTTCCAGCATATTTTTCCATTCTATTTATTGTTTCTATATATTGTTCCCTTGAGCATTGTGTAACCTGCAGTTTCCTTATAATGTCCGTTTTAAGTGTCCAAATTTCGCATGCATAGGTCATGACTGGTAGTCACGTTGATCGAATGTTTTCTTCTTTAAAGTGGCATTCTAGATTTGAATATGATTGAGTTTCTTCTTTGCCAAATTCATTTTGAGACCTTTATTGCTGGCTGCATTTAGTTCGTTAAGTTGTGCTTCTAGTTCTTCAGGACTATTAGCAATTAGGCCTATGTCATCAGCGAATCTTAGATGGTTAAGCTATTCTCCATCTATTTTTAATCCTTTGTTGGTCTAGTCCAGTTGACGGAAGATATCTTCTTCAGCCTGGGACACTCTGTATATTGGCCAGATGTTCTATATAAGGCCTGTCAATATCTTGTTTAGCTAGGGCTTGTATTATTGCCTTAGGATATATCGAGATATCGAGTCGAAAGCCTTCTTAAAGTTTTTAAAGGCTATGGCTAGTGGAAGCTCGTATTCTAAAATTCTAATTAAAGGTCGCAGTATATTCTTTTATATTACCCTTGTATATATATTTTTAAAGTAGATCACAACCTAACACGTTTATGGACTAAGACTACTAGATAGCAGGACCGGTTTCCCTAGAGAAAAATATTTTTTGTTACTCTGAATTGGTAGCTTCAAACCAATAAAAACAGAGAAAATAAAAATCCATAATTTTCGGACTGTGCCAATTGGTTACTAATCGACCAGATACTTTTTGTCTATTAGATATGCTATAAAAGATGGCAATTATACAATTCGACCATTGTAAATACCCGACAAATTCTTCAAGGCCGACAAGGCCGATGCTTCTCACTGATAAGAAATAAAAATGTTTGTTTAGATAATTTTCGAGGTATTTTTACTTTCTGAATGCACATTTTAAAGTATTTTATATTCTTTGTCCCCTTGACCTATTATCCTGGTCGCACGTATGGAAGTTCTGTTTCTTCTAGTTTTAGAAAATGTTCATATTTCTTTTTTCTTTGTAGGTGTAGTGTAAAATTAGATTAATTTATTAAGTTTAATTATAGTGTTTAGTGTAGCATGTTAGTGTAGTCTACCAAAAATAGTTTAGTAGTGTTTTTATATAGTTTATTTTGTAGTTAAATAGTAGGTGAAGGGATAATTTTTGTTATTTTTTCTTTTTGTTTGATAAATTAGTAAGTTTGATAATTTGTTCAGTGTAGAATACAAGAATAAGTAGTTGTGTAGTGTTTTTAAGAGATTATATTCGTTTATTTTGTAGTTGAGTAGTAGGTGAAGGGGTATTTGGGTATTTCTTCTTTTTGATTTTCTTGTAATAATTGTAGTAGTTCTATTAAGTATTATGATAGATACACTATATCTTCCTTCAACTTCGTTATAATCTTGGTTTTCTGGTAGCAGAATATACAAAAACAAAAACTGATCAAATTTATTTGAAATTAAATTAATCTAGCCTTATTAATCAAATTAAACAGTCAAATAATAACAATAGTTAGTTTCAAAATACTATACAGGGTGAGTTTCCTACGATGTTCTCTATGGGCATCTCGGAAACTACTGGATATAGAGAGTCGGTTAATGGGGAAAGAATTGCAGTTTGGTGGGGTCATAAATATGCGCTTTTCGGATTTTTCGGAGAAGTTCAAGGCTTATTAGATATTTCGAAAAAACAAATTTTGGCTATTTTAAAACTTGTCTCTAATTCCATTATAATCTACCGTATGATCGAATAAAAACGGCGTCAACGATGGCTATGAAGTGAAGACCGCTGTCATTTTATATGTAAAATTATATGGGAAATATCATTGATCGTCATTTCATAGCCATCCCTGACGCCGTTTTTATTCGACCATACTGTATTTTAGACAAAAAGTTTTCAGATAAAAGTTGTAGATAATCACATACCTAATGAGTTTGTGTTTTCTGTTTTTTTTTTCTAAAGTCTGTCATTTTTGACATATGACACAAACATATGTTTTTTTAGTAAACCATAGTTGGCCATGATTTCATAAAAAGCGCCATTTTTTAAGCTTTTCAGCGATAGAGGTATAATATGTTTTTTTTTTTCGAAAAATTACAAGTTATAGCCAATTCTTTTCTTTCTTGGCTAATTTCCATACCAATAATACCATGCCAATTATTTAGCATCGAAAATGTCAAAAATTTTATGTTTTCAAAAAAAATATATCGTAAAATTCGTAAAGCACTCAATTTAGAATAAAATAATCTAAGAATGAATTGATTCTTTTATAAACCTGCATTAAATCAAATTAAAATAGGTATGTAACTTTTTTTTAAATATTAATTAACAGCCAATTAGCATTATCATAAATTATAAATAATGTGCCAACATATCGAAATAATAATTTCTTTGTTAATACGGTTTAGAATTCTTAAAATAACAGGCAAAAATAATTCACAATTTACAATAAAATAAAAGTTTCGTTTAAATTTCTTAATCAGCTGATCACTATTAAAGTCCGCAGAAACCCGGGCTATATTATTACATTACTCTGAGGAAAATAACGAAAATAATCGATATTTTTGACTCCGCCCCGAAAGGTTCACGATTTGTCCTCCAGTTAGCAGCACATTTTGTCTAGTCGGTTGAACAACTTTAAGAATATATAAACAAGGATATTACATATGTAGATGTTGGAATAAGAAGCCAAGGAAAAAATTGTTGAATAAACTATGAGATATGATTGTATTTAAATGATTATTTTACCAACCGTACCACGGACAATAAAAAAAGAATAAACACTTAACTATCCAATATTATTTTAAAACAAAAAATTTTTATGTATTTTTAGGTCTTAAAGCCAAATCGGATAAAACTGAACCCACTTCAGAAGTAAAGCCGCCTGCAGGAAAAATTCGAAACACAATAAAGAAAAAATCTGTTTCCGCTCCAACAATGCCCTCTTGTTTTCTATGTAAGGGTCGATCGCAGTCAGATTTAATATGCAATAACAAAGCTTGCAACAAAGGGTATCATTTGAAATGTCTGAAATTAGAAGAAATGCCTGAAGGTATTTATTTAAATCTAGGTAATTTTATGGTTGTTTTATTGTGTGTTTTTTAGTCACAAAGTTTGTATGTCCACGACACAATTGTAACATTTGTTCTAACAGAACAATAAGATGCTGCGTCAAGTGTATCAATTCGTTTTGTCCGTCACATGCGGAGTCGAATGTACGTCATGACAAATTTCTTGGTTTTGTATGCCGCTCTCACGATCCGGTAAGTTACTGTGAATAGGTATAGTTACTTGTAATTTGGTTTATTTGATAAAATATTGAAATTCCTGAAAATAGTTTTCACTATAGTTTACATACCGTGCTGTCAACTGTTACTTTTGGGTCGGTATTTACACGTGCGGAAGTTAATCGCATAGGCATCTTATTAAGTCGGAGTGAGAGAAATGAGACGGGGTGCTGTTGCGGCGTTGCCGGTACGCCTTTTCCTATCAAGTAAAATCACGATCGCAAACCGCTTATTTTTAAAAGACTTTTTTTTCGAAAAGATAACTAGATAAAATCATTAGATATGTTTCTGAGCTTCTGAAATGGAATTATAAGGATATCGTTAGGGTGTTCATTTTTTTATAACGAGAAAATGTCAGTAATCGCGATAATTTAAAAACACGCCATAACTTAAGAACCACTTTAGATATTGAAACTTTTTTTTATTTTGAAGATCGGATCTTTAACAATATGTTTAAATAAGAAAAATTCAATAAGGTTGTTTTTTTCCATTCAATAATTTTAAACAACCAATCCATTCACTGGAATTTCAGCAATCGTGTAACTTTTTATTTACAAAGATTTTCACATACTGTCTGCGAAGAAAATATAGCAAACATGTTAAAAAAGTTTTTGAAAAAAGCACAATCAATTATTTCTAATAGATTTCGAGATATCCATTTTCGAATTTAGAGTTCTAAAGCGCGACCACTGGTCGAACACCAACTCAATTCCACTTATTTTTACCAAAAATGCAAGTGTTTCTTATTTGCACTTAAAAATTCTCAAGCTATAGGGAAAATTACAACGACTCGTTAATAAATAAACAAATAAAGTATCACGAAACGTAATTAAATCGTGACGCTGAACGCTTGATGTACTTTTCCCTAGAACTTTAAGTACTGACAGAGGACAGAGGTACTGATTGGGCCGACCGGTCGACTGCGACAAATCTGTTATATCCCCTTCAACGTCTCTTAGCAATGCGCACAGTTTCTCGGTTTATATCATACGTTTGGCAACGTGTTTACTGTTCTCTCTTTGTTCAGTACATTCTAAACGCATTATACTTCTTACATACGGAAATCTCGACCCAAGACTAACTTTTGCCAACTCTTAGTATATAATTGGTAGGATTAACAATGACTGAAATAGTTGGTAGTACTTGTTAGAGGATTTTAGGATTAGTGATTGTTATTGATGTTAAAACAAATTATAAATCGATAAATTTTTGCAAATTATGTCAATTCATTGAAGTCTATTTTCTGTCTTTTTTATCTTCCTGAAAATTTACAAGGTTTTGACATTGTTATATGTGAAATCGACATATTTTTCAATGTAAAAATTACTATTTTCAAAGCAGCTATAGTATTTAACATAGAAAAGGACTACTTAATCACGGCTTATTTTTATCCCGGCGTTTAAAACAATTATTATTTGTTTTAAAAATTATTATTTATAAGTTTAATTATTTAATAAATATAAGAAACGCAGTTGGACGATTTCAAAACACTATTAACCAGGACATAACAATCGAAGATAAAACAATATTATCAATATTCAAATGTATTGCCAACCAATCGAGCAGCATCAGAATAACCAATTATTTCAGTCATTGTAGAACGTATATCCATATAAATGAAATATATTTATAAGGACTTCCTTGTCAATTTAGGGATTAGCATCACATCAAAACAGACCTGAACGAAAATTAGTTGGTCGGAAAATAGATAGACGTAGGAAATTGTGGCGAGACTACCAACGTAGAAAAAATGAAAAAATCAAGGAAAAAATGAAACCAGATAATGGAGTGCTTAAAGATATTTCTATAAATATTAATGTAACCGAATCAGAATCAAATGAGGTAAGGAATCCAGTTCAAAAATAAAATCTTCGAATGATACCGTATAATCGAAAAAAAAACGGCTTCCAGTTGGCTTGGAAATCATTAATGATGGAATGGAAAACATTAATGACACACATTCCCAATATAATTTTACATTTAAAATGACAGCGATCTTCTTTCATAGGCATCGCCGACGCCGTTTTTTTATCCTTGTATTATTCTAATAAGGTATTTCAAGTTTTAATTCAAGTATATTAGCTCTACATGTGGGGTTCCGGCTTTTAGGCCTTTTTCTGTCTTAGCTGCAAAATAAAACACTAATTCATCACAATACACCAAACTTTACACTTAATACAATACTTTACTTTTGCACTGGAAACGCGTTTCGCCAAACCAAACCATGTTAGCGCCATCAGCAGATGATTAAAGCTAAACTAATATCTACAAATTGAGCGTTTATATAGGTGCTCAGTTGGCACTGACTAGGCGCGGCAAAACTAACCAAGTAAGTCAAAACCAACCGAGTGTAACAGTTACCTTTAACTACTTTTAACTGAAACGAAGAAATATATTTCTTTGGCGGCTTTTTTATGGCATTTACAGCATGCGCAATAAAGTATGTGTTTGGGAACTATTTTTGGTTATTAGCATTATTTTGTTCAAAAAAGTCCTATGGGTATTTCGCCACTGTAGAATGTTTAGGAGGGGTCTTAATCACCGCGACCGTACAGATCTATTGTGTCCTTTCTTGAGTTATAACGGGTTATAAATCATCATACGGTCTCAAGGCTTTGACAAAAGTCAGTATCTATTTCGCCACTGTAAGAAAATCTACAAAATAAAATAGTTTTTTTTGTAAACACTGCTGCGTTCATCCAATGGAGACTAATTATTGTCAGAAGTGGTTTAGTAATAAAGAAATTGCCTAACGGACAAAAAAGTGCTTAACGTTTCGGGAAGTATATCTCTTCCCGTCGTCAGAAGCAAAAGAAAAATACAAAGAACAAAGAAAAAAAAATATTTAAAATATCTAAATGCAACTATTCGAGAACACTTTATTTTTTTTAAACATATACGTCTGTAAAAACCGTTGACGTTCCATCAGCTCCCAATTTTTTTCGATCCTTTTCATTTACCCTTTCTTTACAATAAATAGTCCTTAACCAATAATTAAGATTAAATACTCGTTTTCGTTTTAGAAACCCAGAGAACCTATGAGATCAGTAAAGCGACAACGTTCTCCCGACTTGAACCAAACGGACGAATCTGTCGTTTCCTCTACCAATATGGATGAAGAATTGGAAGTAACTGCATTTTCTCAGGCATATTCGTTACGAAATAAAGAGTCAACAGTTATAAAAGAGAAAATGGATGATATTACTTTAGTCTCCTCATCGCCGGCAATAATATCAACGGAGGATGAAGACAATTCTAGCGACGATGAGTTAAGTTTAATGGAAAGATTGAAGCATTGGAGAGTGTCTGCAAATGGACAGAAAATGGACGGTCTTAATTTAGTATCCTCATCCCCAGCAATAATACCTACGGAGGACGAAGTCGATTCTAGCGACGACGATTTAAATTTAATGGAAAGATCGAAACGTTGGAGCGATACTACAAATGCTAAGAAAAAAATTAAAATAGATAACTGCCGGACAGATACATAAAATTAGTTGTTTTTATTTAAGGTAAACTTTTATTAGTAGCCATTTTGATTTTATTGAATGTTGTGTAAAGGCATGGTTAATAAAAAGCATTTACGGTTTTTTGTACCAAAGTATTTACATCATCACCACTAGATTAACTTATCTTTTTGAATATGTACATTGATTTATTTTATAAGTACCTTTGTAGTATGTATTAAAAGTGGATAAGTGTATAATAATATAGCATTTCACATTAAATATTTTCTTAAGTTTATTTTTTATTTAAAAAAAATCATTTTAACTATACCGTAAGATATCAAAACCGTAACTGATCAAATGTCTTTTGACTTTGACAGTAAAAAAAAATTGTGTGTGCACTATGTGCGCATATTTGAAATGAAACTTCTTACTTCCGTCTGTCTGTCTGTCTGAGGACTCCATTCGGGTACCTCTATCCATGTGCCGAGTTTGGTTCCAGTTGACACATAATTAAAAAAATCCTGATGATTTCGTCTATTTAGAGGCATATCGGTTCCAAACGCCTAGGGTGCCATCCTTATGTAGCCCGTCCCCAACTATTCCCAAATCGACCCACATTTTTCTTCAGTATCAAATCGCTAATAGTATAGAGGGCGGGGTTCTGTGACACTCGATGGCCTGTCTGTCCATCCGCATCTTACTACTCTTCAGCTGTCTTGAGCGAAGAGTTTGATTCTTCAGCATTGACCTTGGATTTACCAGAGGCTGTTGAAATAGTATTTGATGTGGTTTAAGGAGAGATAACAGAGAGAGAGACAGACACATACGTATGTATGACATAAGATTTGGGGAATTTTGTTTCGACAAGCTTAGCCCTCGCCTAGTGTGATCAGTAGATTTTTTTTCGTAGCAATTTATTTTTAACATTTCTGTTAATATCTTGAGATGAGTGTTTAGGAAAGAAAAATAAAACAAATTAGATTGGAAATCGATATATACAGGGTGGTCCGAACTGTATTCCGGAAACTTCGGCAGCATATTCTGCAGATAAAAAAAAGTAAAAAGTTCGTATAAATGTATGTCCTAAAATACTTAGTTTCGGAGATACAGGGTGTAGATTTTAGGTTTCATTTTTATTTAGATTTTTTCCAAGTAATATCTGAAGTAAAGTCAATATTTGGATGAAAATTGGTGTCTGAGGTTTTGTGACACGAAAAATTTGATTTTGATGTCAAAATGACTCCTATTTGTAGGGGGCGCCACCTACATGTGTTTTGACTGTTTTGAAGAGACGGTTCTGCGGTTCCTGTATAAAACTACTGACTAAAAAAATATACATTTCCATAACTTTTTACGTAAAAAATATCTCTTGGTAAAAATCGCTAAAGATATTTAAAATGGAAATAGTCAATACATGTCATTATTGACAAAAAATAAGCACACGTTGAATAGAGTTATTTGGCTGAAATAATAAATTTTTATTTTTTTTAAATTAATCAAAAATTTTCTGCGAAAAAATGATGATTAAACAGTTTCTGTTGAACTTTTAGCACAAAAAGATTTCAAATTTAAGATTTCAGTCTAATAACTATTTGGTCAACATGTTTAATTTGTCAATGATGACAGTTATTGATAATTTCAATTTCAAATATTTCGAGAACCGTTACTCGTAGCGATTTTTACCAAGAGACATTTTTTATGTAAAAAAAGTTGTAAATGTATATTTTTTTACTCAATAGTTTTATACAGGTATAGATGAAAAGTTATTACTCTTCAAACCAGTTAAAGAATATGTAAGTGGCGCCCTCTACAAGTAGGAGTCATATTGACATGAAAATAAAATTTCTCAAATCAAGAAATCTCAAATTTCTCAACTCCCAGACACCAATTTTCATCCAAATATTGACGTTACTTCTTAAATTATTTGGAAAAAATCTCTCGAAATAAAAATGATGTTTCTACACCCTGTATCTCCGAAACTAAGCATTTTAGGACATACATTTATACGAACTTTTTTACTTATTTTAATCTGCAGAATATGCTGCCGTAGTTTCCGGAATACAGTTTGGACCACCCTGTATATTTTTGTTCTAATATAGAAGTCTCACAACAGAAATAAAAGTTTAAACCAATTTAACATTATTGTTATTGATATTGTGACACTCCCCCGTTTTTGAGAAAGCTCACGGACGCCGAGTTGTCTTGGTTCGGTTCCTCGGGCGCCACCCCCAACGTTTAAAGTGTTTGAGAGACCACTAGTGCCAATACGGGTAGCTTTTATACAGTAGAGATACCAGGGAGTGATGAGATGAAAAGAAAATAAAACACACAATTAACTACAACGTAACACTAGGTTTTTATTTAATAAATTAATTATGTACACAAGTAATCAAGGAAGGTTCACGTCCTCGAATCGTAACAATAGTGAAATAAAATGTATATTTACACTAATTTACAGACCCGTAAAGTAAAATTTACAATAACAACCGTGTACCTCTAGAGTTTTGATCGATTATTCCCGATACGTAACTCCCTGACTGATTCTATCACGCGAATTCAAAACGCGTTCCCGAAATGACGTTCTATTAAATAAGACGACGCGAGTTCCTGATCGGCGTCGAATTTAGCGGCGTCCTAATGAACATAGACACGTAGATACCGGAGCAAGACACTCTACTACGACGCGACTCTCTAAACAGTGGCGACGTCGTTACAGGCGTCCCGATGGTCACAGCTAAATATTTATCGGAACGGCGTCCGTTTTGACAGCGAAACACGGACCTCGGATCGGCGTCGGAGTTAAAAGCGTCCCGTGATACATAAACGCGAGTCCTGGATCGATGTTGAAGTTAACAGCGTCCCTTGGGATACACAAACGCGAGCCCTGGATCGATCGCGAAGTTAACAGCGTCCTGTGGGATACGCAAACGCGAGTCCTGGATCGATCGCGAAGTTAACGGCGTCCTGTGGGATACGCAAACGCGAGACCTGGATCGATCGCGAAGTTAACAGCGTCCCGAGGGGTACGCAAACGCGAGTCCTGGATCGATCGCGAAGTTAACAGCGTCCTGTGGGATACGCAAACGCAAGTCCTGGATCGATCGCGAAGTTAACAGCGTCCTGTGGGATACGCAAACGCGAGTCCTGGATCGATCGTGAAGTTAACAGCGTCCCGAGGGGTACGCAAACGCGAGTCCTGGATCGATCGCGAAGTTAACAGCGTCCCGAGGGATACACAAACGCGAGTCCCAAGGTGAGGTCTCGGCGAGTTGTACGTCGTTTGGATAAGCGCAGCCCGCACACACACCGCCCGGTCAGGACAACCTCGGGATTTCGGCGAGATCCCGTCCAGCGTCACTGATGCAGAATGCCGTCCGGACGACACACCTAGAGAAATACGGGAGCTACAAAACCAGCCTCGGGATTTGGGCGAGATCTTGTTCTAGCTCCATGAATATTCGCGACCCGTGCGTTTATTGAACTACCCCGACTGTCCCTTAAGAAGATGAATTAATTATTAGCCCGTAATTAGCTTTCCCCGGGAGGTACACTGAATCGGAGCAGATGTCAGACAACCTTTAAAAGAAAAGGACATCGTTCCTGGCGACCTGCCCGTAGCACAGCGTAGTCCCTTTATGCCTGCTCGGCAAACCTGGCAATGTTAATATTAAAGAAGAAAACTACGAACTCTCGTCTCATCAACACGTCAGACCGGAGCAGATGTCAGATAACCTTTAAAAGAAAAGGACATCGTTCCTGGCGACCTGCCCGTAGCACAACATAGTCCCTCCTTGACTGGTCGGCAATGGTTGTTCTCCCGCGCTTTTAATATCCTAACAATCCCGTCAACTAACTCCCTTATCCCTATAACACGTCCAGGTAGTCGATTAAACGCTTAATAACTATAAAAATAATACGACCTACCCTCGATCACTTTGGCGGTGGGTGCTTACCTTATACAGTGCGACGACAGGCGGCTGGCCGCAGGACACTTGGCAGGGCACTCCGGACTCGAACCTCACTGTTTCGCGTGCAACCACAAACTGTCTATCTGGAGCTGCTGCAGCCAAGGTAATCGACTGACGCTCCCCTCCACTCGGCCTGCACCAGCAGAGCGACGCAAACGGTTCGGTTTCTCGCACCGAACCACAGCGACCAAAACCGATCAAAACTCTCTTACAAAATGGCAATGAAATATTTAACTTATTTAATTCAACAATAGAAACACTAATGAAGTTCATTACAATAATGAGTTAACAATAAAATACATTGACTGTCACTATTAAAAGAAAATAAAGTCCCTATTATTCTAGTATAATATTAACACAATATACAGGGTGTGCTAGAAATTTTATGAACTTCATTACAATATAATAACATTTTGTTGAACTAATCAAAACACACACACTCGAACTAATTGTGAGGTATTTTTGAATTTTGATTGTTATAATATTTGTATCTGTTTATATCTTGCCATAATTCAAATTTTATCCTAGACCAGTAACTTCGAGTAACGGTATCATTTATGGTAGCCTGGGTATATTCATCTTGCATTTCATGCCATCGATACATGTAGTCGTAGTAGGCAGATTGCGAAAAATACTTTCTGTTGAGATTGTCTGCACAGTTGCTTACCAAACTCCTTTTAATTTCTAGAAGCTTTACACCTGTGTTTTGATTAATTCAACAAAATGTTATTATATCAATACCAATAATGATAAATAGGTTTAAACTTTTATTTCTGTTGTGGGACTTGTATGTTAGAAAAAAAAATATATATATACATATCGATTTCCAATCTAATTTGTTTTATTTTTCTTTCCTAAGCACTCGTCTCAAGATATTAAACAGAAATGTTAAAAAATACATTTCTAAGGAAAACAATCTTCTACTGATCACACTAGGCGAGGCTTGTCGAAACAAAATTACCCAAATCTTATGTCATACATACGTATGTCTCTCTCTCTCTCTCTCTCATAACCTCTACATGTCACTTGTCAAACATGTCTTTTGTCATCTTTATCTTCTTTCTCTCTCTCTCCTTAAACCACACCAAATACTATTTCAACAGCCTCTGGTAAATCCAAGGTCAATGCTGAAGAACCAAACTCTTCGCTCAAGACAGCTGAAGAGTGGTAAGATGCGGATAGACAGACCATCGAGTGTCACAGAACCCCTCCCTCTATACTACTATCGTTAGTCCGACCCTGATGAATATGTAAACGAAACGTCGTCGGTCGTATCCAACTGTGCAGGGTGGGACTGTGTGCACCGTCGCTCACATAGCCTACCCACCAAATTTCATCGCGATCGGACGACATCAATTTTTGACGTTTCTTATGTCAAAACTAACTGTCACAGTGACACGTGTCATACACGGTCAAGTTGGCCTTGGTCCAGTCCATCGACATACCAAATTTCATTTAAATCGGACGATTTTTTAATTTGATTCATTGATAATGGTGTTTCGTAGTGCACGAAACGTCGTCAAAATATCATGAAAAGAGGGGCTCTGCGAGCCCCATCTACATTCCGTTTTTCGAATCCCTAGTTCACTAGGGCCCGAGTTATGAAGCTCCAAAGACCCATTAAATCGGACGATTTTTTCGCTATTGATGATGGGGTTTAAGATTTTTTTTAAGATTAAATTAAATTACCTTTCTTACTTTAAACTCTTTATTTTTTATAATATATATTCTGTAACATAGCGTTTTAACAACGAAATAAATATAGTACATTCAGTTTCAGTTTTAAGTAACTTCTACTTTATTCAACGAAAAACTATAAATTTAGTTCAATAAGAGAAAATTCAAATTTTCTTTTTGAATAAATAATTGTATACTAAAAGTGTTAACTAGTGCATTATATTTACAGTAAAAATAACAAGACAATATAAAACATCCCAAGAAAAATATCGTCAACAATAAATTAATGTTATGGATCATTTTACCATTTCCATGTTGTTTGAAGTGCCTAATATCCAGAATTTTTTTGATAGAATACTATTTACAATTACACTTTTTACCCTGCATTATAAAAATATAAATTTATAATTTTTCGACACATACAGTATCACATAAGTCCGCATCATGTGATTTTTTTATTTATTGCCAAATTTGACTTTGGCGTTAGTTGTCCTTTGAATTGTTTAAGTTGATTAAAAATGGAATCTGTGAGGGGTAGTGGTAGAAAGTAAAGTGCTAGATTTAAATTAAATTTGCGCTGAAAGATATTGTGACTGAAAAAAAAAACTTGGATTGGTCTGGATTTCCTATTTTATGCTACATTTGAACTTATTTATAAGTTTGTTTCTGGGAGTATATGCGCTCCTGCACGATGCTCTTGGTATCTGTCAAATTTGACATTTAAATAAATAAATGGCCGAAAATTGGTATACAGGCAGAATCTTTTAATTAAAGAAATAATAATTTTTATTTTATAAATAATATTATATATGAAAATCGCACACCAATTTCCGATGCACGTGATCAACTTTGAGTGACAGACGTGGCGACAGCGCTGCCAGATTGTGATAGATTTATGAGATGAATCTTAATTTAAAAGTGACAAACAATGTATCTATTATATCATTTTTAAAGATTTTTACATTTTATTTTTAATTTAATAACTAAATTTTAGTAATTAATTGATTTATTTGTTTTATAGCTTATTTTACTTATTACATATTGGCAAAAACTAGTCCGTTATGAAGATTATTCTAAGCGTTATTATTGGTTATTTATTTTTTATTTATTGATGTACATCTTACAACGCCATAAGTGGTAATAACCAGTAAGAGGGTGCTATTAATGCACCAACTAATAATCACAGAATTTTATAAAAAATTAACGTAAAACCTTGAAAGTGGTGTAGTGTGCTTATCAATCAAACTTACTTCTGACTGCAGTCAAGGGTAATAAAGGACCATTAAGGCAGGCGGCCACTGCGAGCGAAACTAAACTAAGCTAAGAATATAGAAAGAAACGGTAACTAAACGAAAATAAGTTTCATCGGCCACTGGAAACGATTTTCGCAAGTAGTCAGTTTCGCAAGTTAGCTGCGTTTTCGTATTGTGTCTCTGCTATCATAAAATTAATCGCTGCGAAAAATTCGCTGGAACCTGTCACGAACTAAAACGAGCGAAACTAAGCTACAATTTGAATCTTCGTTCACATATTTTCGTTTAGTTTCGCTCAAGTGGCTGCTGATGCATTTAAAAGTATTGGAGCTGATTTTTAAAAATCTTATCTTCGCTTGGCTTAGTTTAGTTTCGCTCGCAGTGGCCGCTCGCCTTTATTGTCACGTTTCCGTTCAAAATAGTTTATCAGAGAAGCCACAAGCTCTTTTCTTCGACTGTTTAAATGCTTCGGCATAATGTCAAAACACCATTTCAAGAAATGCAGTAAAAAAACTCGATCATTTAGTTCTTAAAAGAACTGTTTGTACTTAAAAGTACAATTTTTAAAGAAAGACTATGAAAATAAGCAAAAAAACGAGAATTATTCACAAAGATTCAACAACAACATGATATTATACAAAATAATGACTGACATTAGGATAATTGTCAAATATTTAAGCGACAACCTTGCAGAAAACGGCGCAATGTGACCAACATAGCGTAAATAAAATTCGGTTTAAACTAATTTTTGCAGCTTTAACCTAAATAAAATATGTGTTACAATCATTTGCTCTATAAAGTAAAATGAAGAGCTGCTCGGTATCTTAAATTATACAACAAATTTAAACATTTTTGTCCAAATTTCATTTAGTCAGGTTAAAGGACTTTAGTGCATCGGAAAATGTTTTGCGATTACAATAAGTATATTAGCGATTTCCCGATTTGTGGGAAATTTCGAGATGCAGAGGGAAAAGGGAAATTTTAACCCAAAACACCATATTCGTGGGAAATTATCCGTATACTTCTTCGGTTGGCATAAGACATTATTTTATTTTTGTACCCCCACTCCACGAATACATGGCGAATTTTAAATAAGTGCAAATATTTCTAGCGATTGTACATTTCGAAATACCTTCAGTAAATTTTTCAGTTAACCCCCCCCCCCCATCTGTATTGTGCTGACGACACTATACTGGACTTGAGAACCCGTGGGAATTTTTAGAAAAATTTTTTAGCCATATTTTACTTTAAATGTCAAATTTGACAGATACCCAAGAGCAATGGGCGAAATTTTCTGATGTTATTTTTAATATAAATCAAAGCAGAAACTAATGCCGAAGTCAAATATCACCTGAGATATTATGATGCAGACTTTATCTGACACTATAAGAAAAACAACAAAAATTGCGATTTAAATATATTTCATTTTATTTTGTACTTGCAACTATTTATTAACGTGTTTGATTGTGAATTTAGAAAAATCTATTAAATTGAAATACAAAACTACTTTTCCGAACTTTAGAAAGGTATTAATGTAAAGGCCAATTAAAGTATGTTTTCGAAAGGCAACGAATCTCAAAATCACTCAAGATTTTAACATAACTCTACAAAATCTTCTTTAGATAACTAGGCTTGGTGCATTTCAGTTGATTTCAATAAATTCCGACCGCGGCGCTTCAACGGCAAAAATCAGAAATTACCAGTATATAGTTCACGCAGCGCCGCCGTCATGTTGATCGCATTAAAATAATATTGAAATCGTGTTTTTTTTTTCATAATATTTAAGTATTTTAGTTTTTTGCTAGTGCAGTTATTGAGACTATAAAACACTCAGGTACGAGGTTTGTGTGATGTAACGCTGTTTCGGGTAATAAAAAATAAGTGAAACAGAATTCGAACTAGGCGTCGTGTTGTGACAATTTCAAATGTTAATAAAACTGCCGAAAAAATGGTAACGCGTAAAGGAGATCGTAATTAAGGCGTTGTTACATGCAATAATATTCAATAACTCAACTTTCCCCGATATTCAACTCTCCCGAAACAACATTTTATAGCTTCATAGTTTTTCACACCAATCAATAGCAAAAATGGATTCAAGCAGTTCGACGAAACAAGTGAGTAAACAAATTGCTCTTAACATAATCAAAAAATTAAAAAGTCATATACTATGAGAGGATAAAATATAATTTGCAATATTAATGGTATACTTCTTTTAATCGAAATAGCCCCAATTATGCCCCACTAGCAAAACCGGTCTATGCTCGCTACCGTAGTTGAACTCATCTAAAAAGTTTTTTTAACTGGAATAATAAATTATTTATAATACAAATTAGATATTCTGAAGATATCAAAATATTTACTTTTTTATTTTTATTTTTAAAATTTTCACAAAAATTATACTTCCTAACACTTTTAGAATAATTAAATAATACATTTTTTATATACTCGCTCTTTAAAGCCGTGTATTTGTATATGCTAGTTTCTTACGATATTCTCCGATGATGGCAGCACCGGCGGAGAAAGCACCAAGCCTACAGAAAAATTTTGTGGATATTCTTTAAAGAAAACTATGACGAAAAATAACAAGACACTATAAGGATCTTATGAGAGATATTGTAGATTAATTTAATTTTCAAATGTTTTTCGGCAAATAAATTACATATAAAATCCTTTGCACCGTCTTGTATAATTAACTACAAAGAACACTTTCGAATCTGTTGCATATAATTTGAAGCTTCTGCCTACTTTTTGAAGAGTGAAATGTTACCGGTAATAATGTTATTACATCATTCACAATCCGTGTCTCCTTCACTGGAATAATCTTGAATGGGTACTGGACGAGCCAATGGAGCTGACGTCATAGGTCTACAAAAAGCCATCAGTATTAGAGTTGATCAAAAATGTATTGTTTTAGCTTTACATTATTCTTCTATAATGATTAAGCCATTCTTCGCACATCTGCGCTACCAATAGTGGTCTCTTATGTAGGGGTTGTTGAGCAACTAGTATGCCATTCTCTGTTTCTGTAACATCCATCCATTGTCGTAAAATAGCCTCTTCCCTTCCAAGCTGAAATATTATAATAGAATAACTATAGTAAGGAATTTATAACGTTAATAAATAGTTAATTTTGTTAAAAATTAAATTGTGTGTCTTTTTTAGAGCTGAACGAAAAAGAACCAAAGTCTGTCCAACGAGTCAGGGAAAATTTCGACAGACTAAATCCAAAAAATGACAGACACAACTGTTATTGTCATGTAACTTCTCGTTAGATAGACTATACAGGGTGATTCATGGTCACAGCAACGTGCCATAAACGTCTAACAAGACGTTTATGGAGAACTGGTGGCGCTGTGATAGGATTTTTTTGAAAATTTGCATTTTTGCATAAAGGCACCTGCTCCATCTGTCTAAATTATTTTCAGCATTACAAGTGTTGCCGCTTCATACTAAAAGTGGTAGTATCTTTGTTATTTTAAATGGAACACCCGGTATATTATTATATTTTTAGGAACTACTTCCATATCTCAACATTTTTCTATTATACTAACCTATACCAATCTCTAATAGTTCTCGAGATAAAAAATAAAATATGTGTAAAATTGACAAAAACATGATCTTGAATAAGCATTGGTTAAATCATAAATTCGGCATATCATAAGGAAAGTTGATATATTTGATATTTCTAAATCAACTGATTAGATAGCAAACAGGGAGGTCAGAAAAAATAATTATTTCCGCTGAATCGTTCAAATTATTGTTACTTTAAATTCAAGCCAACTATTTTACAGTTTTTTCCATAATTCTTTCGATCAATGCTTATTCACGATCATGTTTTAGTCAATTTTATATATGTTCAATGTTGCCACCGCCTACATTACCCACATTCTGCATGTTTGTAAATTTACAGTATTTTTAACTCTCTACACAACGAAAATTAATTTTATTCATAGTATTAGTATAGATTACTATACTAATCTAGAGAAACCCTAGGCAACTAGGATTAATGAATAACTGCCTCAAAACGTTAAAAGCATGTGTTGGAAATGGAGGTCATTTTGAACAATTATAATAGCATGCAGTCAAGAAGCCATGGGTATTTAAGTGTAGTGTTGTCAAGAATTGCACGTAAGTGAAGTGTTGTTAAGTGTAGGTTGTTACGGTTTTAAGAGTGGTAAAATGGAAATAAGAAAGCTTTGCAATTATATCGATCTGCTATTGGGATATACTTTATTAATGTTCGGTAAGTTTTTTTCTTTTAATCTTTGAATTTATTTTGTGGAATGTGGTGATCGCCCACTTAAAAAAATATCCCACTTTTTCAAAACCTCTTGGATGGTGTGGAATCTTGCAAGTAGTTTTAGAGTCTTTCTAGTTGATTTGGCAACAGTGGGCGGCGATTATGGTTAGATCCGGGTAATTGCCGATTTCTGCCGGCGGCGGTTCTCAAAATGTTACATTTTTTATTTTCTGTGTTAAATAACTTGGTTATTGTCAATTTATTTTAAAAATGGTAAAGAGATAAAATTGTTTCTCTCTCTTTTGACTAGATCTACCACCCATTAAAATACTTGCACTTATTTCTGGGACACACTTTATATAGCTTACTTTGAAAATATTGGGTACCACGTCCTTTAAATACTTGTAGACTTCTAAATCTACATCTCATTCACAATCTATTAATGTATTACTTTAAGATATAAGATATGTGTATATTTATAACTCACCTCTGATTCTAAAAGAAAATGAATTGGTAATGGTTTTCTATCACGGTCAACTAAAGGTAATAAAGATGCTCGAGGTCTAATCGTCAGTGATGGTTCTACCGGCACCAGGGCAGAAAAATGTCCCCTAGTATAACCTAAAGCAATGGGACAGCGCGAACAGAAACTGTGATCCCACAATAGAGGAAGATAAACACCTTCAAATCTTGCTGGACCCAATGCCTCCCCTCTAAAGCTTTTGACAATCTGAAAGGGGAGATAATAAATGACAATTAAATACTTTTATTTTCGATTTTCACTCTAACTTTGTACCTTCACTCCGTACACTAATATAGGTCTCCTTAAAATGTGAGCGAGTGCAAACACATGAAGCTGCTCTAAACTCGATCCTGGTTGTGCAGCTAAAGCAACCAAAGTACTCCAGTCATCCTCCCATTGCGTTTCTTCTAGGGAATACTGTAAGAATGAAGCATGGGAAGATTCGTATTCTTTCCATCTGGGATAAAAACTGTAAAATATAAATATACATTAATACATAATGCAGGATTATTTACGGAATTCGACGCGGAGTATCCTAGCTAAATGATTAGATTTTTAGATATTGTGAACGTAGTAGAGTCGAAGAAGAAGCACTAGAGTTAATTTAAGTTCTGCCACAATTTCCCTTCTAGATTTACTACCTTTAAACAACTATCAGTAGTAAAATAAATAATAAATAACATAAAATAGGCTCAGTAAAGACTGACAAATCCACAAATTTTCAATTCAAATTCAAATGTGTCAAATCAATCGTCAAACAGAACAGTCAAGGACAGTCCTTCTGACTACCATGCATGAATATATGGATAGCATTGTACTCCTTCCAACGATAAAAACAGTGCCAGACAGGTTTGCAGTCGTGAAAGCGCATGCCGATATATAATATTGCTCGCATTTAAAAATACGGTTTTTTGCCCGTTGCTTGTTGTACTCGTAACACCAAGCAGTAAGTTGCGTGTGCAGAGCATATTCTTTCAGTGATGAATAGCAAGTAGCAAGCGACGAGCGATTCGCTTGATCCGTTGATTTAGTTTATTTCAAAGCATTGTCGATGTAAAATTTTGTCACTCAGATACGCAACGGATAACGTCGTTTAAATTTGCTATCTGCAATTTATGTAGAAAATTTGCTCGGCTTTTTATCGAGTATGTCACATTAAAATTGGATTTCAATTTATTTCATTCTAGGATCGCTTGTGTTCGTCGCTCGTAACTCGTCACTTGCATCGCTCGTTCATAATCGAGCGATGCCGGTTATTTCAATAATCGACTACTCGAGCGAATTTTCGCTCGAGTTATTCCATCACTAATACGCATTTTCTACGAAAAGTTGAAGAGATATTTAAAAAAGTGCAATCAATACAATTTGACAGCTAATTAAATTTTGCATCTGAGGCTTGCGCAATATACAGTGTGTAATATTTAAGTTAAACAAGTTATTGCGGTTTAAAGCTAGTAATTATTCAACCTTAATTTTTAGCTGCCTTGTAGAAGCCAGTGTTGATTTTATTATTGCAACACAATATATCGTCGGTGAAATGTGATAAACTGCTAACTCCATTATTCCAAATTTTACAGGAGTGCAAGAAAACGGTACAAAAAAATATGTACACATGTAGGAAGTATATTCATGCGTTAATATGACGAAGAGATAAGAACTGTATTTGCCGGGGAACAATAAAACTCAGTATTTCGTGTTACTTTATTTTTTTCAGACACAATAGGGAGATAGCAGATATTCGTCTTGCAGAAATAAGAAATAAAAAATATATTTCTGGATATAGCAACCTTTATTGTTTGAAATTTTGAAAATGGAATTTTATATTACCCATACATATTTAGAAATAATCAATTAAATTTAAAAAAGTATGATATTCATAACCATATATTTATAATATCGTCGGTCTGAAAGCAAAATACATAAGTCCAAAAACGAATAAATTTTTAATGAACTAAAATAGCGCCATTTTGGACTTAATGAATATGAAAATAATTTACAAATTAAACTTATAGTTCTTAGAAGATATGGTAGGTTTTTCCTGGATATAGCTGTATATTCTGAAAGAAATCTACTCAAATGATATTACATTAGCCACTTGCAAATTTATCGAATTTTTATTAACAGGATGCTTAGCCTAATTTTTTTACGAGAACTGTAGCAGGCCGAACTTGGAAAACAGTGCAGTCGTTATCGGTAAAAGAGTTGCGTGATTTTATTAAATTTTTATCACTTTTCTCCTTAATTTTTTAATTTTTATAAAGATTATGTCTCATTTACGTGGAAAAACGATGAAAAAATAAATAGGTAAAATTGATTAGGTACTTTGGAAATTTTTGTACAAGTAATATTATTTAAAATATTTATAGCACGCCCTTACCCCTTACGGATACCCTATATTTACAGAACGGATGGAGGCAGGATCGGATGCCCATATAGTCAGGTTGACAATAATTGCCAGCCGGGCTCTAGCCTTCGCGGGCTCCTCTAATAGTTCATTATTTATCCTTAAATAGAAATGAAACAGAAAAAAGTGACGATAATATTCTGAGGTTATTTCCAAAACATTTTTTTTAATTAACAATATTTGCATTACGATTTGGGTGCATTACATTTTGGTTAACCTTCCATTACAGGTAGTTTTCTGATTTCTATATATAATAGAGAAAAATTGACCTAAACGTCAGGCGAAAAAATACGCAAAAAAATTCCAGCCGGGCCCCTCTGGCCTAGTCCGACTCTGGATCGCCGTACTGTGCTAAAGAAACATACGAGTAAAGAATTCGCGTATTTGCTTCAGCGTGATGGTAGCTTAGCAGATAGTATTGTTAAAATAACATTTTTTTTAATTGTAAAGAGTTTAGCTGCTTTCCATATTTATAGAGTATTTTTTCTCTTTCTAACGGTATAAAAAATTTATTAAGGTAAAAAATGGAGTTAGCAGGTTATCACGTTTCACTGACGATATAGTAGAACTTCAGTGCATAATCTAGTTTTAAATACTTATATAGTTTTACTACAATCGTAATCAAAAAATGATATAATATACAAGATATTAAAAAAATACAACTGTAGTATTTTTTTATTTAGGATACTAACTTGTAGCTGTAGTGGCCCTTAAGCGGCTCCAACCTTCCCAAATTCTAAATATCTAAACGTTTAGCTATAATACTCCGCGTTGAATAGCGTGTATACTGTAACCATTTTATACTTTTATGATGTTTATTTACCTATGACCAGATTGAACTAAAGTTTCAGCTAAGGCTCTTCTTAGGACATTATCCCTATCAAATACGCCCCACGTCGCTTGCATAACGCTATCCAACAAACATTCCCCTGCGGACCTAAAGTACAACATAACCGTAAGTTTGTGTTTTTGTGTGATTATCCAATTTTTTACCTGTTCCAGAGAGCATGTAGTCTGCACACTCCATCTCCAATAGCCCAATTTATCACATGACCAACTTCTAACTCTTCTTGCGCGTCCTTATCAAGTAACTCCATCATTAGTTGTTCTTGGATGGTAAGAGGAAACATATCGATTTCTGACAAATATTTAAATATACAATTAGTGAATACTGATAATGAGCAAGCACGAAAAAATCAGGATGTAATTGGTTTGAAATCACAATCTTATCGACCTATTTCAAAAATGGCATATACACTGGGAAAATGAAATTTGGTTTTTGGATGGCACTAATCAAATGGAGTTATTAGATATATAGTTTATTTGACCTTATATGCCTATACAGGGTTGTCTGAACTGTATTGGGGAAACTTCGGCAACATATTCTGCAGATAAAAATAAGTAAAAGTACAATAAGTAAAAAGTAAAATAAGTTCATATAAATGTGTGTCCTAAAATGCTTAGATTCGGAGATACAGGGTGTAAAAGTTTCATTTTTATTTCAATTTTTTTTAAATAATTTCTGAACTAACGTCGATATTTCGGTAAAAATGGATGTGTGGGAGTTTTTTGCCATGAGAAATTTGATTAATGTCAATATGACTCCTACTTGTAGAGGGCGCTACCTACATATTTATTAACTGGTTTGAAGAGTGATAACTTTTCATCCGTACCTGTATAAAACTATTGAGTAAAAAATATACATTTACGACGATTTTTGCATAAAAAAAGTCTCTTGGTAAAAATCGCCGCGAGTAATGGTTCTCGAGATATTAGGGATCGAAATTATCAATACCTGTCACCATTGCAATAAGTTAAATATTTTGACTAAATAGTTATTAGACTGAAATCATAAATTTGAAATGTTTTTGTGACAAAAACAGAAACTTTTTTATCATCCTTTTTTTTGCAGAAAAATTTATGATTAATTTAAAAAAAATAAAAAGTTCCCAAATTTATAATTTCAATCAAATAAGTATCTACTTAACATGTTTATTTTTTGGTCTATAATGATATTTATTAACTATTTCCATTCCATATATCTTGAGAACGATTGCTTGTAGCGATTTTTACCAAGAGACTATGTATATTTTTTCAATCTGTAGTTTTGTACATGTACGGACGAAAAATTATTATTCTTAAAAAAAGTTAAAACACATGTAGGTTGTGCCCTCTACAAGTAGGAGTCATATTAACATCGAAATCCCCCAAATTTCTGATGTCAAAAAACACTCACTTTTTATCCAAATATCGACTATAGTTAAGAAATTATTTGGAAAAACCCGAAAAAAATGAAACTTCTACACCCTGTGTCTCGGAAACAAAGCATTTTCGGATATACATTTACATGAACTTTCTTTACTTATTTCTATTTGCAGAATACACTGCCGAAGTTTACCGAATGCAATTCGGACCACCCTGTATATCACAAGGTGTTCAGACAACTATTACACATGCAATATTCTATATTTTTATTCATCAATTAATTTGAAAATAAAAATAATTTTCGTGTATATAACAATCAATCCAGCATAAGCATATGTTTCATGTTAGATTTTTTTGTATGAACTCCATCAACGATATAGCCCAAGCAGACTTTTTTAATTCATATTTGGCTTTAGATTTCGACTGAACAACCTTTGAATACTCCAGGTATAGTTAACTATTAATCTTAAACTAAACAATTTAGTTGAATATGCAGAGTTTACTAGTTATTGAAACAAATGTGTATAATTTTCGAAACAAAAGGATAAACAACTTTCTGATAGTACAAAGAATTGGTATTTTGCTTCCATTGTATAGCAAACAATGAGGTATTTTATAGCTTACAATTATTTTTTGTTACTATTAAATAACCATTACTAAAAAAAGTTTTTAACCAACAGGAACTAACAACTATGAATTACCCATATTTTTTTATTTCAAAAGTATGCAATTCGAATTTATTATACGAAAATGCCGCAGCTACCAGGCAAAACTCAAATAACAGTGGAAGACTGCTGTATGAGAATAAAAAACGGCCTCAAGTTGACTTGTATAGATAGACCATAGACACACATTAGATTTTGCAAACAAAAATATTAGAGTCTCAACTTTTAACGCAGTTTGTTTCTATTTGACAAGTAGTGCGGCAGAAGCGACACTTAAAATTACCAATTGGTTGTAGGGAAAAGAGTTTTAAACCTCTTCCGCTGCACTACAACGCTCAGCGCAATGGAAGCTGAAATCTGGACAAACATATCCATGTTATAATTTTTGACAATTTTTGTTAATTACAATAAATATGTTTTTACAAAATATAATATAATACCTCCTGTATATACCGCGCGCGCGTTTAACGCCTATTTTTCCATAACAACGGGCCGTCCTTTGCCGGAAACACTGCGACCTGTGAGGCCTATTGTGTTTGTCCCCTTTCTATATCGGCACCCATTCTCCTATCCCTGTGCCCTGCACTAGCTTATGCAGGTCCTTGATAGGATGGGAGCATAGTTCCTCCGGTTCTAGCATATTTTTTTTTGTATTTGACTAAGAGTGAGTCCCAGGTCGGACCCTCCACTGCAGCCGCGAGGACCTATTGTGGCTTAGTTTCTACAAGCTCTTGAATAATAAAAGAGCATCAAAGTTTACCCTTAAGACCCAGCCTTTTAACATAGGCTGTTATGTACGAGGGCGATATATCTTCTAGGTCTGGGAGGTCTAGCGTGGGTTTGCCAAACACCTCAAACCTGGTCCTGCCCCCAGCGGGGCAGGTACATATAACGTGCTTCATTGTTTCGTCATCTTCCATACAGAGTCGGAATTCGGCGTCTTCCACCAGTCCCATCCTCTGTAGGTGTGATCTCAGCCGGCAGTGGCCCGTGTATACTGCAGTAAGCGTACGTCCTCCGTTCCTACCAGCCTTTAGGAGTTCATCTGTTCTACGTTTGGATGGCCATGCTAGTCTTGGCATGTTCCATTCCGGGACTGTCATATCAATCCCAAAACTTCGCACCCCTAACCCATTCACAAAGCCTGTCTCTTGCGAGATTTTTTGGTACGCTAAGTGTCGGTTCTAGGCCCACGAATGGCGAGCCTGCACCAGTTTTGGCGAGGGAATCAGCACGTTCATTTCCCTCTAGGCCGACATGTCCCGGTATCCATATTAGCGACACTTTGTTCCTATCTCCTAATATATATTTTCGTCGCTTCAAGTGCTTTCAACGCGGCTTGATTATCCGAAAATATGCTTATTGTTTTCCCGGTGTATTGCTGTTCTACCAGCAGTTGCACACAGGTTTCAATAGCATATAGCTTAGCTTGGAAAATTGTGGTGTGTTTTCCAAGACTGTGGATCTCGGTCTTTGGACTGCTGCAGTCAATTCCTGCGTCAGATCCTTTATCGTTTTTGGATCCGTCCGTGTATCAACACATTTCCGCATGTAATAAGCCGTTTCTCGGCTTATCCCATTCGTCCCTATTCGGAAACAGGACGTTGTAGGTGCGCGTCAAGAGTTGGATTGGTGGTATGAGATCCGAAACCATTCCCAGAATCTCATCCGATTGTAGTTAGTTTCCTTGGTTCTAGCCTAGCTTTCCCAAATAAAAAGCGTGTTTGCGATCCAGAGCCTCGCAATGACATATGATGTGCTCGGCTGTTTCAGGATCTTTATCGCAGAGTCTGCCTTGGTTTAACGCCTTGGTCGTAGCAAGGTACAGCTTGCCATGCTAGAGCCGTTCGGTATACAAGGAAGGTAATGTGGCTAGAACAACGCTGTAACCGCCTATTACTGTCTCAGGATTTCGTCATCTTTTGATCAGACGTCGTCATTTAAGGCTGTGTCGACCTAGAGACCTAAATTATTTTTATTTTATTAAAAATAGTCGGCTGATGAACTGCCGACTGTTCGAACGAGGATTCGAACGCACAACCTTTAGATTGGTAGACAAGAACTGTACCTCTACGCCACCGGACACCTTTACAAATTTACTTAAATCTTGTAGAGAATTTAATTTTTTTGTCGGAAAATGCAGAGAGCGAAAAAAATCGTAAAAAACATCCAAGATGGCGGACACTTCCCATTTCCCATATCAAATATATTGGCAAGACTGTGATTTTTCACAAGACTGATGTCAAATAAAAACCAACTGCATCAAAAGGTTCAGCTCTAATTTTTTTGATTCATGGTTAATGATGTGTTTTTTTATTATTGGACACGCTGAAATCTATAATTTTTTAAAAACATGCCAATAAGAATAACAAAAAAAAACATTTGATGCAAACTTTTTGGCACAAAGAACATTCTGAGACTGCTGATGGTTGTTAGGTACACAATATTATTATTACACCGTATGCAATTTTACCTGCTGGCAAAGTGTATGTAGGACATTCTGTTACATAATGGCAAGAAAACGTGCCCTTCCTTTGTCTGATGGTGCTTGCAAAGTGTCGTCTTATATCAGCTGCTAAATCTGGTGCAACATAACTAGGTACCCTTTTAATTCCAGAACCAGATCCTTCAATCTGAGACAGAAGAACCGCAAGTAAATCTTCCCTTTTGAATCTAAAAAGATTTTTATCATTAGAGCAAAATCAGGAAAGAAATTATTAATTTTTATTCCTACCTTATTGCTAAGTGTACTAATGTATGACCAACATCAAAAGCAGAATTTCTGTTTAGTAATGTGCATTCAGAAGCTGTCAAGGCTCTCGTGGGGTCCCCACCAGATGAAAGGTAATTCTCCACTGGTATTTGGTCACCCTCTATAACACCCAGGCAGGCATTAAGCCATTTCCAATCAGCGTTTCTGCACAGATGTCTAAGTTTATGCTCTTTATCTATAATATTCTGTGATGACTCTAAAAGTATGCAACGTAAGTAAATAAAATATTTAAGTAAAATTTAAAATACCTTGATATCTATCATCCTGGTTAATATCATCTATTTTTTTATTTCTTTCTGGTGAAGGCAATATAAGACTAGAAGTTTGTGATCGTTGAATATTACAAGTTCCACACATAGCACATTTGGTTGATTTTGGCCAATTCTCAAAAGTACATACCTAGTGATAGCAAGAAGAATAAATAATTTTGTATAGGGTGGCGCACCTCATTCGCCTCGGTTAATTATACGAAAACGGAAAGATTTAGAAAAAAATGCAGAAGGCAATGTGCATAATTTAAAATTATTTTGAAATGTACAGGGTGTATCAGTCAACAAAGTTATATTTTTTCTTATGGAACACACACCCCAGCAGTTTCTAAATATGCATGCTATAATAAAAGTTTGTCAACACCTTGTACATTACTTTTCAGAATTCATTCTTGTGCTGACTTTCAAGCTAGAGAAATAAACTTTACTAAAAAAATTGATTGCTTTCTTAAATGTATACAGGGGTATCAAAAATTGCTGGTCTATTTTAAATATTTATTTTAGATAAAAACCTCGTTAATTCAAATGCGACACTATGTCTTTTTTTAAATCGAAGCAGATTTCATTGCTCTTTCAAACTATATTACGGTTTCCTATACCTATCTGGCTCAGATTTTGAATAAAAAGCGATTTTTCAATAAAATTGCATTTGTTGCATAATCAACCCAGGCGAATGAGGTGCACCACCCTGTATATTGAATTATTAAGAAATTACAAAAAAGAACTGTAATAAACGAAGATATGGAATTAGATATGAAGTTTTTTTATATTAAACCAGTATTACTTATATGAATTTAAAAGCCATTTAATACCTGACAAACCCATTTAGCTTGTGAAGTTCTTCTGCTATTTTCCAAATTATTTAAAGTAGAAGGCGGACTGTTATTCCTTGAAAGGCTCTGTGCTAAATCAGAATTTTGGCTAATTCTAAGAGGTTGTAGGTGTTCATGTATATTATTGGCTGTTAAAGGAGGACTATGACAACTACAAAAAAATAGTTTTACAAATTTATATTTCATTGACTATACAAAATTATAGTTCTGTATCTAATATACTAGTAGTAAATATTACCAGCTCAGCAGTAAAAAAACCTGACTATTTAGGTAATAATTGCCCTTTATGGCACGCATATAAGGAATATTTCTACACCAATGGCAACGCTCGGGTTTGAGTTCCGATTTTCGTATGTAAGAAGAGTACAATGCATTTATAATGTACTGAACAAAGAGAGAAGAGTAAAAACGTTGCCAAACGTATGAACTAAAGCGTGAAACTGCACATTTCTAAGAGACATTAAAGGTAATACGCCAGAGACAAGACCAGCTCCTCGACTGTGAAGGACATGGAGGGAACACCAACCGTGGAGGATGTATGTATACCCTCGGAGGAGGAACATCTGTTGTCAGAGAAGGATGGGAAATACCCCGTCCCCCCTACAACATGTATGATGGGTTATAGACTGTATGATGAGTTATAACTCAAGGAAGGGAGACACTAACTTTAAGGTCGCAGTGATTAACCCCCCTCTCATTCATTCTACATTCTAGTGTTAGGGTTAAGATCGAAAGCATAAACCCACCATAATTCGATTTCAGATGCCCAGAAACATATCTAATGATTTTATCGAGTTATTCTTCCAAAAAAAAACTTAAAAGAAAGTAGAAATTAAGTGTTTTTCGGCCGTGATTTTACTCCACTAGACAGTGAAAGGGCACCTGTATCTCCGATAAATGTGGCAACGCCGCAACAGCACACACTCGGATTTTTTTCTCTCTGACTTAATAAGATTCCCAAGAGTTGCCAACACAGTATAAGGCTGTAAATTACTGTTAACAAAGAGCTCCACTACATAGAAGTATAGAAGTGAAGAATTTTTATGACTATATATGTATATGTATTAAATTATATGTTACAATTAAAATTTGGTATCTTTGAAACTATTAACGGCTACATATTGATGTATCGGACCATTTAACACTAATGTTAAAAAAACATGGAATACCTATCATCAGGCGAAACATCGTCAAAAACACTCAACACTGATATAATGTGATATGCAACTGGTTATGATAAACAACCTCATCACTATCTCTCTTGCGCTCCGATTTGAATATGTTTTTTCTATTTTACGGCCTCGGGGGACAAATTGTTTTATGTATTATCGTATACTAGCCTTATAGGACTATTATTTATATGATTTTAGGGTACTGTGGCCATTTTTAATTTTAAAATTTAGTTTTTTGCCTGTTCTGTAATATGAACCATTTAACAGTTCTGTTGTATTCAATGAGAAAAAATAACAGGAAAAATAACACTCGAGACCGAACTGTTACCCTTCTTCCAAACAGTGCCGTGGCACATATTTTTCTTAACGTAGCTGCTTAATGAGATGTTTATATTTTTGATAAATGTTGTGACTACACCTATGATGTATGTGGATGTATCATACTAATTAATTATGAAAAAAACACATTAAAATGTTAACAAAAGGTACAAAACTAGTATCAACGTATAGCACATATCAAGTACATACATAATATCAGAAATATAACTATCAAATTCAATAAAAAAAAACGCTAAAAAGGCAGAGTGGACTGTTTATTTCCCTGTGAAACTAAGTCCTGGCTTTTTCTTATAATTGCGCCTTCAAAGCTGAACAAATTGCCATTGTAATAAAATTTATACAAAGTTCACTACACACAACAAACTATTAAAAATCGCTAAAATTGTTGCAGATGACTCATTCGTTTCTTCCCAAAAAAAAAGCCAAAGGTCACAAATTCTGTTGCAACCCGTATATAGGGGCATTACATGTCCTTGTATTCATTAGTCGTTTTGGTTGTATCATTGTTCTTCCAGAACAGCAATGTCATATGTGGTAATTTACGTTTTGCACTTTTAGCAGTTTTTATTTAAATACTGTTTTCATAGTATATTATGTATATGTATTAGTCCACTCCAAACTAGACATACAGTAATAAGTTTGTGATTTTATTTCTCTTACCTTATACAAGATGGACATTTAAGAGAATTACTACAATTTTCACATTGACATTTGTCTTTTGATTTCTTTAGATCTAAGGAAGCACCAGCTCCCACTGGGGAACTTCTATCGTCTCTATCATCTAAAATTATGTCTCTTAGAAAAAAATACTGTTAATGTTTTACTGCATTTACACTTACCATGTAGCCTGTAAATATTTTCAAATGGTCGCGGACCACGACACATTGTACATTTTATTGCCGAGGGATAATTCTCATAGGTGCAATATTCGCAAGCCCATTTCTTTTCATTATCACTCATTTTTAAAGTACTATATTTGTAAAGTCAGGTATTTGCTTTTTCTTGTCATGAATATTTCATGATAATTTTTCTAAATAAAGCTACAGTTAGCATTCGATGTTGGTCATTATTACATTCATATCTAAAAGGTTAAAACTTATTTTTATAAATAATTTATATAATAAATGTTAGTACAAAGTGCGTGTATGATTTTAATTCGTACATAAACAAATTAACTATGATACATGCCTCTATTAATTGCATATAATGTAAAACAAAATAATTATGTGCATTGGACTATTTACCCTTGATAAACGGGACCAATACCAATACTAATGTATTGTACCTTTTGGGAAATAATAAAGACAAATGTAACAACAGAAACTTTACGATTAAAAATTATAATTTCCGGATAAATAATTAAAAGGTCGATTTTATAAATTTTGCTCACCTTTGAAATTAAGGTCAAAAAAAAAGTTATTGTGATAAAGGCACTATAGGTAATGATTTGTATACTTTTATAAACAACAAATTTAGATACCATTTGTAAGCCAATTAATCTAATTTTTAGTTGACAAATCAATGCAAAAATATTTATTTGACGTCAAAATAACAACCTTTTTCTCAAATCCGTATTCCGTACTTCTTCACCATCTGATATTTGACAAATGACAAATAATATTCTTCTAGTTTTAGTTTTATAACTACCCTCTAGATGTCTCATTTCTGACAACTTCTAAGCAAGGATGGGAGTGTAAATAAAGACATAAAAAGTGTTTTTTACATGTTGTAAAATATACTCTAAATCTGGTAAAAATCATAGATAAATAAATAAAAAGTAAAAATCAGGGTACAGAGATATAAAGATGAACAAATTAAAAATTAACAATTAATTATTTTCCTGGTAAATGTGTGCTTAGGTTGTTGATCTTAAACGTCGACCTTGGCGGCGTCGTTCGGTTGTTTTCGTCATCGCGCCATTTACAAATATTTGTGCGATGTTGCCATTCATGTATCATTTTAATCTACACCTCAGGCTAAAGTCCGGTTTTATCATCATCAATACTATTTTGGTAGATATAAGGTACCTTTTAACAGTTACTATGGAAAAGTAAATATTATTCTTAATGTATTAATTTAACACTGATTTTATCATATTATACACATATAACCAATTTATCATTAGGTATGTATTTTTGAGTACCCTTGTTAATTATTCAACAGATATTCAACAAGCAACTGTTGAATTAAATCAGACAGATATTCTCGATTTAACAACCTTGCCAATACGACATTTTCACCGTACAAATTAGGTCCCAAATGGGGCGTGAATTACGAACACAGATTCGAAGCCAGCGTTAAACGGAAGATCGTCATATGGTTCGTTTAATATTGCCTTAATTTGACGCTTAAAATGAGGAAAGGGTGTTGTGTTTCGACCACAAGTCAATGCTTTACAAAATAATTATCTATGGTAGGTACATTATTTGTGTAAAAGTATTAGGGTTAATATATTCAAGAATCTATTTAGCAAATACGTAACCGGAACGAAGCACACCGACATTTAAAATGACAGCGATCTTCATTCCATAGCCATCGCTGACGCCGTTTTTTCTCGATCATACGGTATATACGTTACATGTTACCTACTTCCCTACTTGCAAAATAATATATTTCGTTAAAAATCATTATGGGGCTTTAAGCAACGGGGTTTTAAGCCCCGTTCTCAGTACTTTGTCAATTTGTATTGTCGAGCGACACGTCAAAAGAACCAATGAGATTTGCACAAAATTCAAAATTGACAGCTGTTTGAATTTTGTACAAATCTAAAGGCCCGTTCTCAGAAAAACGTCGTGTCGCGGGCGACACAGTTTGACATTTCAAACAACCAATGGGAGCTGTACTAAATTTAAAATTGACAGCTGTTTGAATTTTGTACAAATCTGATTGGTTCTTTTGTCGTGTCGCTGGCGACAGTCGCAGTTCTGAGAACGGGGCTTGATTGGTTCTTTTGACGTGTCGCTGGCGACAGTCGCTGTTCTGAGAATTAATCGAGTCGCTGTTCTAATTATTAATTATTTTATGATAACTGACATTATTTATAAAATTAACTTCATATTTCTGCATTTTTTTATTTTAATTAATTTCTTATTAGTTAAAAATCTGCATAAATATTTTGTTTAATTGTATTTTGTTATCTAAAAAACCTTTTATTTTATGACATGCACAATTAAAAAATTTCTAAAAATTGCTTGTTTTAAAATGGTTAATTCCGTTTATACAATTCCAAATTTCCATACCATTTTAGTTTTAGAGAAAATAATTAAAAAAAATACATGAAATTATAAATTATTTTTTCCCAAAAAGTTCCAAAAATCAAAACGCGTTTCTATAGTAATATACCTAATTTTGTTGTCATTCTTTGATAGATTTTTATTGATAGATAAAATCATAGATAAATGCAACAAGTTTAGATTGGAAAGCCAGTATAAATTTTGGATCGCGAAATTATTTTGGGTCGCAACCGTTATACGCGATCTGGCGCTGCTATAGCGGTCGCTAAGAACAACGGCAAACAAAAACAGAAATAATTTTCTCTTGTCAAAGTCAGAATCTTCAAAAATCATAATAATCTTTCAAAATCTAAACCGCTCTCATTAAAGAAATCCCGAAAAGTGTTTATAGCATCCATTTTCAAAGTAAGTATTGCTATCTTGTGAGTTTAATTCAAGTTTTATTTACTCCAACCGGTGATAATTGTGAAAAAGTGGCATTAAAAACTTAAAAAGCTGTGCTGTGAACTGTGAACTGCAAAAACCATCGTGGATCGTGGCATAACGTCGGTTTCCAATGTTTCATAGGTATTTCATACATGCGTCCTTATATAAAATAAAGTTTCTTGTATGCAACACACTGTCCTTTATTTATAAAATTAAACGAAAATAATAATAAATTGGAATAAACAATATTTGGCGATATAATTCCGGAAAAAGCCGAACCGCTCCGAAATTTTCAAAAGTTTTGGGTCGCGACCGTCGCAAGAATAGCGCCAAATAGTGTTTACATTGTCCTTATGGGCACTTTCCAATCTAAACTTGTTTCATTTATCTATGATAAGCGCCAGTTTCTTAATTTAAGGATTTTACAATATTACAGTAGGTCTAACTGGTCCCTACAAAATATTTAAACTCAGCAGGGCAATAAGTTGTTAAATCCTATGATATATGTCTAGCAAAAATCTAGAACATACGGAAACAACCTGATAACCACCAGCCAACCACCAGCCGTCCAGTGCTCTCCCATGATACAAAGAATACAAGGTATGATATTGCGCAGGTTGGTCACTACGTCACAGGTGATAAACGGCACCATTGGTCGGCAAGCTCTGCGCGCCAATTTCAAATTGTCAAACAGATTGTGTCATCCGTGAAATTTATTTGTGTCAAAATGTAAAAATAATTTTTCAAATGTCAAGCTCGATGATTTGACATAAATTTTGGGGTTATGTCCTAATTCTTCCCTATTTTAGGTCTTTTTTTATTAGTGACAATTGAACAATATGGATATTTTTTTTGTATGGCGTATGACGTCACAGGTGGTATGCGCAAACTGAACGAAATTGGAGCCGCTATCGATCATACCTTGTTTTCTTTATACCATGGTGCTCTCCTGTAAAATTAGTAAAATAGCGCCGCTTATTATGTTTTTCCACTGGACCCTTCAATTGATTTCATTCTTTGATACTTATAGATGGTTATTACAGGTTATTAATTTTGATTAACGTCATATTTTTTGCTGCTGTTAAATTAATTATTTTATGGTTAAATTATCACATTTTCCGATAACTATATAGATATTATCACCCAACCTGTAGCATTGAACTAAATAAATTTTGTGCTTCTTTAACATTTTATAGCAGCAAAAAATACCGTATAAACAAAAATAAACGGCGTTCACAGCGATCTTCATTTCATAGCCATCGCCGCCGCCTTGTTTCGATAATACGGTATGACGTCAGACGTTAATTAAAATTCTATATTATTTAAAAATCTATCAACGAATGACAACAAAATTATATTACCATAGAAACGCGTTTTGATTTTTGGGACTCTTTAGGAAAAATTCAACTATATTTACTTCTTTTATGAATATATGTGAATCATAGTTACGATAATTATGCTCCATGAAGGAAATATGATGAAGAGTATACAGGGTCGCTGTTATGCATGAAACCGGTCGATTATTAGGTAAAATATACAAGGTACTACAAAAATTAAGTATACAGGGTCGGTCATAAAGTCGAGGTACATAAAAGTTTCATTTTTAAATGAATGTATGTATATTGCATATTTCAGTTCTTCCTTCAATTCTAAGCAAAAATCGAGATTCAAACAATGTACCTTAAACCAACCGAGTTATTGACTTTTGAAAATATCGCTTAAACAATATACGATTTAATTAATTGCGATGTGTTCGGTTTCATTTAATGATGTCATTCTGCCGAAACTGTGATACTGTTGTAATGAGTTTTTAAATGCCCATTAGCTACTAGTAAATTTAAGTGTACAGGGTCGGTCATAAAGTTGTAGCACATCAAACCTTATACTTTTTAAATGAAACCCCTTGTATATTATTGCATATTTCAATTCTTCCTTCAGTTTTAAACAATAATCGTAAAACACAATGTAGGTAAGTAAGTAATTGAAGAATTGAAATTTTAAACGAAAATTTTGTAATTTCCAGACTTGATATACCTAATATTATTTTATACATCTATAAATGCTAACTTGAGAACGAATGTCAGATATTATTAAGTATCACAGTTTCGGCAGAATGGCAGCGTTAAATGAAACATATCGAAATTAATTAAATCAAATTGTTTAAGTGATATTTTCAAAAGTCAATAGCTCGGAAACTGTTGGTTTGAGGTACATTGTTTGTATTTCGATTTTTGCATAGAATTGAAGGAAGAATTAAAATATGTAGTAATATACAGGGGGTTCTATTTATAAAAATGAATTTTTTATGTGCCACGACTTTATGACCGACCCTGTATACTTAAATTTATTACTCGCTAATAGATATTTAAAAATTCTATAACTTTTTTATTTAACTTTTTGCGGTACCTCCTATATTTTACCTAATAATCGATCGTTTCCATACATAGACTTAAAATAAAATATAGACTGAGCATCTCATTCATAAATAGCTGGAACATGCGGTCAGACACTGTCTTGTTATTGTTGTGTTATTGTTTTAGGTTATAACGAGTGCGACACGAGCGATAGATAGGTTGTCTCTGTCGTAACGGTCGTTCCCTGACGACTCTGACGAGAAACACAACACTGTCTTTCGTTCTCAAGTACACCTGAACTCTTTCTCGTATCATAGCGGTGTTAATTTTTTTTTCTTAATGAAAGCTATAATTAAATTAAAAATATATCGTTCATTTTAAAACTTTTTTATTTATTAAGATTTTTTTTTTTTTTTTTATTTTTTCGAATAAAAAAGTTTCGAAAAAACAATTTAGAGCTCCAAAAGGATAAAATAATAAATACACGTACAGTACGTCTGCTTTCTGATTAGAGAAGTCATATTATTCTTTGTTGGATAAAATAAATAAATTAAATTATTAATTTGTTTGTCATAACATTGTAAACCGGCCTTAATATAATGAGCAGAAAACAGGATTTATTCCACAGATATAATAGGATCGGCGACAGGGAGAGAAAAAAAAATCTGATTTTTTTTTTTTTTTTTTTTTTTTTTTTTTTTTTTTATATATTATGTAAATTATAGAGGAAAATCAAAATAATTTTTTTTTTTATTATTATGTATAAAATATAGACTTGGAATAAATCAATATACCGGGTGGTCTCAAAAGTGACTCATACCCCGCATTGACTTTTCGGCTTTTTGTATTTTCACAATAATAACCTTCCATATTTTAATAAAAACAAAAAAATATATGAAATAAATTAGGATTTGATTGACGCATTCAATTGTTTTGGTCATTTCCTTGTTTCACCGGAAATGGACTATAAACTTTTTAATTTTCTTTTTTTTTTTTTTTTTTTTATTAATTTCTACTTTATTCGATTAGAAATGACACTCTGAATAGAATGACATATCATATGTCACTTTGACATTTCGCATTCATGGTTTAATGTTAATTTGTAACAACGCAGGATTCATAAGGAAAATTGACTCGAAATACAAGTGTATGGTACCAAAATATTCATACAAAATCACCAATATTTGCTTTCCAAATATCGCTAGATTGAGCTTCACGCCTCTGTGTCCGCATTTGAAAAAATTGACATATTGTATTGATTAAAATACGATCTTGGTTACTCTTTTAACTGCCTAGACAAAGACACCGAAAAAATCCCTATCATTAGCATAACGATCTTCACAAAACTACTTTTACAAGGCTCCTTGAAAAATCCTCCTTTTTTGTATAATAATTTTTGAAAAAAAATGGATTGAATTGGTACAGAAACGGAAATATGTTTTTTAAGCGACAATGTCAAAAAGTCTGACATCTATGATAATATCTTCTATTCAGCATCCGAAGTGGTTCTTCTTTATCGAAATTAAAGTCGCATCAGAACTATACGAGGGTGGCCTTAAAAATTCAAAAACGATTAGTAACTCATTCGTTTGAAAGAGAAAGAACCAAAAACAGTATGAATTACGTCAATCATAAGGCCTAATTATAAATGTCAGGGGTTATACCTACTGAACATACAAATCTGTTTTTATTATCTGATAAAATAAAAAATCATTATAGGGATTTGAGCCACTTTTTGAGATCGAGACCCGGTAATATTTAAAAAACATTGTTTCATAATGTAAATTCATTTATTAAATTCTTGTATGTTATTCTTTAGACTTTGAAGATAATTTTAGGATAAACCCGGAGATAATATTTTTAATAAAAAAGCACCGATTGTTAATTCTTCATACAGGTGGCTGTTATAATTAATGATTTTAGCTTACAATGTCACAGTAAAGTAAAATAATGTAATGTAATATTTTTTTTTTTTTTTTACTTTTACATATTTTACTAAAAATTATATCTAAGATAAGCCGCCTGATTCTGCAACAACGCCACCTTGACTGCCACTGAGTATTGAGGTTTGCCTATCCGGTTCCACTAGTCGTTTCAAGAGCTTTAAATGGAATTTATTTAAGGTACAAACTTTCTTGCACAATTTCTCGGCACTGCACCGCACAACCTCGACCCGCGAATATTCTCTATATAGTTTGCGATTCCAACAGCGAAATGCCAATAAAATAAACACTTAAGGACTACTAGCTAAGAAAATGCCAAGTTATAACTCACAGCCGTGGCATACGTATGATACGTCGGCACACAAAGCTTCTACCGGACATCTGTGCACCGCTACTACTTACAAGACGCAAGGTATGTAGTTCATTTCAATGAGGCTCCATGCCATTGAAATCCACGTGGCTCCTCTCCCAGCTCGCCTCTAATCGGTTGTTGTCATATTGTAAGAACTTATCCTTCATTAAAGAGTATGCGACTTGATAATTTAGTAAAGCTATAAAGGACTATTCTAATAATTCATCTATGGAATATTAAACCTACTTTATTCAAACTGTTTATTACATAATCTCAATATATGTGTAATAACAAGAAAAAAATATTGATAATATTAAAGACGTGACAACATAGGCTGGATGAGGAAGGCTCGGTCGACTGTACCCAGAAGTAAACATGTGTACAAAAAAGGTTGTTTGTCCGCGTTGAGATGTAAATAGTGTAGTCTATATTTTATTTTAAGTCTATGTTTCCATACATAACTGCGACCCTGTATAGGATTATGACTCCACGTCCTTTCGATACAGAGATCTGTTATTATAACTCTTAGATCTAGGGTATGGTACACCATTGTGTAGGTTCAGTAGGTAAATAGAGTTATTTTAGGAAGATATGGACGAAATTTGAATCTTTTAGCAATAAGTCACTTATTAACTTTTTTTTAATTTACAATATTTTTCTCAGAAATTTGGTGATTAAATTAAAAATAACCAACATAATTAAACAACTTTTATTAAAGTACTAAATGCATATTAAACAGTTGAAACATGTGATAAACATAAATAGATAAATGGAAGTTTTAACAAAAGTATTGCATATTTTATATACTTATGAAAATGATTATACGGAGATGAGTTAAGATTAAATAGAAAATATTAAGATACTTCTTCTACAACACACGAGTTTATAATTAAATATATCCACATTTTTGATATTTATGTTATTATCAAAACGTCTACACGATTATAAAGTTATTAAAATAATAAATTTGATTTTTTTTAATATTGTTACATTTGATTTCTAATGTAAAATATCTACAAACGTTGTGAATTATTTTTTTATTATTCCATTGGTACTGCGTAATAAATATATAATATATTTAATATTCGTATTTTCTATAAATTATATCAACATTGTTTCTATAAGACTTTGTCACAAGTAGCCCAAATTATCAAAGTTAACAATGTAGTTCTTCATTTCTGTGACTGATTTTCTTTTTTAATGGTGTATGCTAACCAGCATGCAAGGACGATACCCACAACCTGAAATCACAAAGACAAAATTTTAGTAATTACATTATACAGGTGTAAAAAAAATAGTGTATCTAACTTATGTGGGTAATTCTACGGATAAAAATAAGACGAGGATAAGTTCCTATATGAATATATGCCCTGAAATGCTTCGCGCAGAAGTGACAGCCCTCGAAAGGGTAAATAAAAATAACAGGACCGGATTAAGAATTCGTAACAATGATAAAGATTAAGGCTTATATGCTTACAACTCTACAGTATACCGGGTGTCTCTCCCAAAAGTGTTCTCTCATCCCTATAAGTTTCTGGCCCCTATAACTTTTTTATTTTTTAGATAAAAACGAGCAATACGTAACTGAACGAAGTATTACTGATTATTAATATCTGGACTGGACAGTCAGATCAACCAGCGGAGTTGTGTACCCATCAGTAACCTGGAATGGAAATTCTCCAACGGTCTCAGACATTCGAAAAAGATCCTCAGAACTTACGACCGAGAAAAATCAAATATTTTCTTTGATTTAAGTGACAACAATCTTCGGATTGTCACGGGGTCTTTAACAGGACAGTGTCTCCTCAGTAGATACCTCAGTAGAAAATCTACTGCCTTGGGCCCGGTGGTCTGGGGGGCCCTTAAAGATTGTAAAATATTCATAATTTCTTGAATTTTTTAATTTTATTGGAAAAGAGGACCCGAATTTTTGCTTGCGCCTTAGAGCCCGACCAGATGAAAATTGACCCTGAGTAGATTAAAGCTAAGAAACAACGGCGAATATAGATTTGGTGGGAAAAGTGGGGAAGCACCAGAATGATTTAGGTTCCTGGTTTTAATTACGTAGAGATAAAGTTCAACAAAACGACTAAGAACATGTAAAGTTGTCTACCTATTTCAATAAATTAATAATACAAACAACAGAGTTAGATTTAGTAAGTTTTTTTTTGCAACAAAACTGATGCTAACTGATGCTATGATATTTATTTTTTATCTATGTGCTATGATAAAAAAATTATTTTGATGTAATATGACAGACAACCGTCAACAGTGTAATTTAATATTTAAAAAAAAATCATAATGGTTTTACTTTTTCTATTATTTTTTTCCTTGCTTAAAGAATATTTTTTATTCTATGTGCTAGCTGCATTTATGTACCTTATTTTGAATACCGTCCCAAGCAACTTTCTCCACTGGGTTATTCGTATAATTTGCCATAGAAGCATGGAGAGTTTTCTTTAAGGTACCCTCAAAGTCCCCTTTATAGACTGCAGCAGCTATTCCAACAGCTAATTCCAAAATAAAGATGACCACCAGTAATCCTGCAAACTTAAGAAATAATGTAGTAAAAATCTTCTCCGATTGCCAGTAATAATTAAAATTTTAAAGATAGAAATTTAAATATAAGGAATAAAAACAGTAAAAAAAGAAAGTTTTTTTACTTTTTTAATCTTTTATTTTGCCTAAATTGTACTCTTGATAGTGTTATAATAGTGTTTATTTAATTTTTCTATCGTACTTACTGCTAAAAGCATGTTGTATGATTCTCTTATGGCTCCAAAACATCCCAGGAATGCAATAATAAATACAATAGATCCAGCTACTATCAGCACTATAGGCGGTCCTAAAAGCTCGCTAGTTGTAAAGTGCTTAATATCTGAAACGTCGGAGAGTACCAAGCCACCGGCTATGATTATACCCAGACCAGAGATCTGTAATATATAATAAAATGAAGTGTATTATGAAAAAAAAGTAAAAAATATTGTTTTATAGCGATATACAGGGTGTTTCAAAAAAATGTGCCATCTCTCGTGGGGAGATTCCTCACATAAAAATAAGATTTATTTTTTTCATAGTAATCAGTAGCGTCCGATTCTGCTTTGTTTCGTAGCCAGAGGTCGTTGTAAATTCTTAATATTTTTTCGATTTTCATTATAATTTTTATATATACTATAGTATAAATAATAACTTCGTAATCTTCAGTAAAATTTAAAAAAAAAAATTTATATATATACATATTTTAATGCTAAAAAAGTGTCGATAAATTCATCAGGGACGTACATATGGATTATCACTGGAATATTTTTCAAAATTAGTATAATTAATATAAAAATTAAGTAGGCCGTTTAATGCCAATTAAAAGTTATCTCTTTACATTTTGTCGTATTCGGCCCCCTTGATGAGATAAACGCAATTTTATTAATCACAATTAACAAAATTAAAATAAAAATAAAATTAATAAATTATATATTTTATCTAATTGATTATTAAATATTATTATTATTACTTATTATTACTATTAGTCCAACCTACGGCAATTTCAAATAAAAACCACGGCAAATTAATAAAATTACGTTTTTCTTATCAAGGAGGCCGAAATCGACAAAATACCAGAGACAACTTTTAATCGGCAATAAGCTCCTTAAACTATTTCGCTAATAAAAAAAAGTCACTGGCATACATGCCTTTTTAAAAAAATATTCTAGTAATAACCCGCATGCACGTCCCTGGTGAATGTCGACACTTTTTTAGCTTTAAAATATGTCGCATTTATAGTAACTTTTATCTTCAAAATTTCATTCGAAACGCTAAAAGTACTTGGAAGAAAATTATAATAAATCGAAGAAATATTATGACTTTAACACCCTGTAGCTACGAAACAAAGTAGAATTGGACCTATGTTGATATGAAAAATAAATCTTATTTTTACGTGAGGAATCTCCCCACGAGAGATGGTACATGTTTTTTGAAACACCCTGTATAATAATTAGTAAGTATTTAACGGCAAATTATTTACTTTGACAACTAAAGATGAGAAATGACTAAAATTTTGCGGTATTGTATGGCACATGCTTTATAAAACACACTGTTTACTAGTTGTTTACGATATTCTCCGATGGTGGCAGCACCGGCGGAGAATGCACCAAGCCTATATAGAATATTTAATAAAAAGTACAGAAAATCAAGAAAAGTCATTGTCATTTCGTTGGCGTTGGAAATGACAAAAAAAATTTTGTCATTTCGCCAATATGTCCCCTCTCTCTTTCTTTTGATCTTCTTAGATAGAGACAGGGCCGGCGGAAGGCAAATATTGAGACCGGGCGAGTACCCTATCTGGCGGCCCCCCAATAGTTATTATAATTCTCTTTTTTTTTCAATACTATCCTTTAACTACAACTAAGCATATTTATGCTACTTTAATAATAAATTTTCACTTAAAGATACTTCAAAATTCTACTCTTCTTTCAATCTTAGTCTGCGTTTGTTGTTTTTTGTATACCGGGTGTGTCTCGAAATTACCTCAACCCTATAACTTTTTTCTTTTTTTTACATAAAAAACGAGATTTGGTATGTTAGTATATGACATAAATTAGGATTGACTATTCAATTGTTTTTGGGGGCCCCTTCCTGTTTCATCGGAAATGACTAAAACTTTTGATTTTTAAATGGCACCTCGGTATATTTTTACTTCATTCAATAGAAAATGACACTCTGAGTAGAATAACATATCATATGTCAACTTTTGACATTTTCATTCTAAAAACATTATATTTTAAATTTCAATCTAGAGGATCGAGCCTTGGAAAAATACAGGGTGTCCCAGAAATAAGTGCAAATATTTTAACTGGTAGTATAGTTCAACCCCAGAAACATGAGGCTTTTTTCCCGAAAAAAAAATTTTGAAAATTCGAAATTTTTTGGAAATTTTTTTAGTTTTTAGTTAAAAAATATAATTTCTTGATAATATGGCAAGATAGGTATTAGATTAAATTTACAAGGAAGAAAATCCAGAAAAGATCCAGTGGTTTTCAACATTTTAGCAAAAAATATTTTTTTTTTGGAAATTTTCGAAGTAAAATAACTCCGTTATTTTGGACTTATTTGAAAAACGATAAAGAGCAAATATGTTTCTTTTATCGAGATCTACCACCTCTTAAAATATTTGCACTTATTTCTGGGACACCCTGTATATAAGCTGTATATATAGCTTTTTTTTTTATAATAAGGATATCGAGATCCTCTTCAGGTTCTTGCGAATGAATATTTACCTCATATAATTTTAGGATACATCAGCCATTAATAACAAATAAAAGGGTAGTAGAAAAAGTGGGATTTTGAGCAGTCAGTCTAAAACTGCCAATTTTGCTGGCTCTTGACCCAATACAGTTTGTTTAGAGAAAATTTATAAAAACAAGAATTATAGAAAGAAAGGTTATTTACAAAAACTTGATAGCTTTTGAATTATAAGTAAAATACCACGAACAAATCAGATTTATATTTTTTTATTTTATTTTGTTTAAGATTTTTCCACGAAAATGAATTCGCAAATCCCAGTTTCAAATAGAGCACCCAAAAAATATATAGAATGGAAGAAATTAAAACTATCCCAAAGCTTTCATGCAAAGGATTTTTTGAGCATAATTTCAGTAAACTATAATAGGATACGTCTAGGATATAGTAGTGTTTATAATGTTTAGTCAGATATTCTTCCCTATGTGGTGTGGTGTGTGGTAATAGGTAATATTTTAATGTGGAAATTGATAGTACCGATTAATTATTGATCTGGTTATTCGTTACTGTTTTTAAATATTTTAGTTGCCGTCATGGCGCCCCTCGTATAGTGTGACCAACGGATCTGTAGCTACGGGGTATCGGCAGGGGAACGCAGTTGTAAACAAAACACGCCCAATTTCATTCAAAAAATAGGCATGGGCGTACGGTGTTATATGAAAATAAAGTGTATCATAAATATAATACTCAGATTAATATTTTTTTTCAAAAAACTTTATGCCGTTTGAATCGTTACTGTTGAGTTAGCAGATAAACACTAAAAGCTTTTATTAAAGCTCCCTTAAATATTTCATCTTATTATTATTATTGTGTTGTTAATATAATAGAAGAAATAATTACAGCTGGGGGTTGGAACCTTTGGTGTTACACAGCAAAATAAAACACTAAATCAGTACAATACACCAAAACACTTTTAATTTTACACTGGACGCACGTCTCGCTAACCATGTCTGCCATCAGCAGATGATCAAGACTGAGTCTTGAGGTAATATTTATTTATATATCTGTACTAACTAAATTTTTTTCTATAATACATAATTTTAGATATAACTATTTCCAGCAAAAAAAATCTTGAAAATAGTTAACTTTGGAAGCGCAAACAAAACATAATTTTACTCACCAGTAGATCCAATATTGCCTATTACACCAGATATGGTATCCTCCGCCAGCAGTTTTTAAAGGTTAGGTCATTGTCTACCCATATGTTACATCCAAATAGATAATACTTGGCTATATTTTCGAATTTCGCGTATATATATTTATATCTCTCTCTGCAATATAATGGGCCGCTCCATTAATATTTATCTGTTATTTTAACATTTACGCCAAAAAAATTCATTTGATTTTAATAACCCCCTAAGCGTTTCCCTGCAAAAGGAAAATTCGATTCTTCCTGCAATTTTTGCAAAAGCTTTCTAATTGTGGGGACGAGTTTGAATTCGAGATAAAATCTATTTATCAAATTCCTGACCACTTCGAAAAAGTCGTTGAGCTTTTCGACAGCAGTCTCACGTGGTCGTTTCTTTCCAGAGAGGATATCATTTTATCGGGGTTAGTTTTCAGCCTTTTTTTTATCTTCTGTGTGAATTTTTTTATAGCCGATACGCTAACTCCGGTATAAAGAAATATCCGCTCAAGTTTACGTTTAAGCGGCAACTCAAGCGAACTCTCTGTAGCTTCTTCATCGCAAACCCTATTATGAACACAAGGAAATACACCAAATGAGATTTCATCCACGTTATTATTAACTTACCTATATAAATTAGCTATTATTTCTCTTGTCTGACTATGTAGCGTCTTACCCTTAACAAATTTATTCGTTTTAAAACACAAATATACGATCAAACTTGATATTAATAATTAAAAACTACGAACGAAAAACATTATAACAAGATAACAAAACAATAAAACACAACTTAACTATCAAATATACTAAAAATATAGGAATAAAGTTTAGGATAACCGGTATAAAATAATGAAATAAAGTAATAATGATCAAAAAAATGACACCGCCACTGGATATTTCAATAGTATTCAATATTCCTACTCTTTTCAGAAGAGACCGTGAAGTTGGGGATAAAGCAAGCGAATAGGAAAGGCGTAAAAGCCATGGCAACCGCGTGGTAACAAATCTTGTGACGTACTCTCGCCAATCATGTTCGATGAATAGGCGGCCATGCGCGGCGATGCCGGTTTGCCAAAGATATCGTTAAAAAATCTTCAACTTTCATAATAAGCAGATTATACAGAATGAAAGAAATAAGTTATTAAATAAAACATATCGAACAATATGAACTACGTTAAAATTCCTTAGTAATATATACGTCAGAATATATGCTAAACACATTATATATAATAAAAATATATTAAATTTATAGTTCATGTCTGGCAATTTTGCAATTTTATAGATAAACGTGGCAATGACGATTTTTTTTTCTCGCATTCCTTCCGTAGCTTCAGATCCGCTGGTCAAACAGTATATGGCGCCCTGGGCAGCCGCCCGGGTCGCCCGGCCCTTCCGCCGGCCCTGGATAGAGAAAGTTGTATAATATACTGCTCAACGGGAAAAGAGAAAAAAGAAGAAATTAGAAAAGGGGAAATATCTAATCTCTTTGAGGATCATGAAAAGAAGGATGGTGGT